AGAGAATAGCTAAGGTAGGAATATTAAAATTTTTTTTTTAATCATGTTTTAAGCTCTCAGTTAACAGCTTCTGTCTGGAATGCTGTGATGATAGGCCTCACAAATCAGTAAGTTTCATTCCCATAGTCTTTTAACAACTCTCTTTTTATTCCCATAGCTATTATTTCCAACTAGTTATTATTCCCGCATCTTTGCATTTCCAAACATTCTTTCAATAACTCTTCATCCTCATAATAAAATAATTTATTATTTCCTACAGCTTCATGCAGATTTCTGAGGTCAACAGTCAAAGTTCGCCTATCAGCAGAAATAAAAACCTGCGCCAGGAATGCGGCCCAAAAAAATCAGATCGTCAGAAAATAAAACCTTGATGCCCATGTGATTGTTACTGGAGCTATGTAGTTCGTACTTGTGCGAAACTCTTATATTTTAAAAAAAATATGTGCGTATTCGAAGGCAACGATGTGACAAAATGTGAAAGTAGTCGGTGCAGACATTTAGGAGATTAACGAATAGGAACAAACAAACAAAAAAAAACATTTTTATTTTCACAGATTGGACCAAAAGGTGGGTGCAACCTGAAACAGGGACATACACCTAGTTGATAGTTGAGATGACCCAGTTCTGCTGATATCATTCGCCAGTTTTGCTAATATTGTTCATCAGCTCTGCTGATATCACTTGACTGTTCTGCTGATTTTGCTTGTCCGCTCTACTAATATCTCTTTCTTGCCAGTTCTACTGATATTGCTCGTTAGTTCTGCTATCACTTGCCAGTTCTGCTAATATCATTCGCCGCTTCTGCTAATATCAGTTGTCACTTCTGCTGATTTTTCTCGTCAATTCAGCTGATATTACTCGCCATGTGACAATCCCATCTGGTACGCAGATCTGTAACTAGGCCATCAGTTATTTTCTGTTTGCTTCAAATAGGCATCTTTAATCTGGCCAGCAAGGATTACACAGCTGACTGTCACAATCATACAGTGAGATCAGAGACAAACAACTGACTGTCACAATCATACAGTGAGATCAGAGACAAACAGCAGACTGTCACATTCATACAGTGAGATCAGAGAAGACAGATGAATGTCACATTCATACTATAAGATCAGAGACAGACAGCTGAATTGTCACATTCATACTATAAGATCAGAGACAGACAACTGTCACATTCATACACTAAGATCAGAGACAAACAACTGTCACATTTATACAATAAGATCAGAGACAGACAACTGTCACCCTCATACAATAAGATCAGAGACGGACAACTGTCACATTCATACAATAAGATCAGAGACAGACAACTGTCACATTTATACAATAAGATCAGAGACAGACAACTGTCACATTCATACAATAAGTTCAGAGACAGACAACTGTCACATTCATACAATAAGATCAGAGACAGACAACTGTCACATTCATACAATAAGATCAGAGACAGACAACTGTCACATTCATACAATAAGATCAGACACAGTCAACTGTCACATTCATACAATAAGATCAGAGACAGACAACTGTCACACTCATACAATAAGATCAGAGACAAAAAACTGTCACATTCATACAATAAGATCAGAGACAGACAGCAGACTGCCACAAGCATACAGTAAAACAAGAGACAGACAGCTGACTGTCACATTTATACAATAAGATCAGAGACAGACAACTGTCACACTCATACAATAAGATCAGAGACAGACAGCTGACTGTCACATTCAAATAGTAAGACCAGAGACAGACAGCTGACTGCCACAATCATACAGTAAGACCAGAGACAGACAGCTGACTGTCACATTTATACAATAAGATCAGAGACAGACAGCTGACTGTCACATTTATACAATAAGATCAGAGACAGATGGCTGACTGTCACATTTATACAATAAGATCAGAAACAGACAGCTGACTGTCACATTCAAACAGTAAGATCAGAGACAAACAACTGTCACAATCATACAGTAAGACCAGGTACAGACAGCTGAATGTCTAATTCATACAGTAAGACCAGAGATAGACAGCTGACTGCAACATTCATACAGAATGACCAGAGACAGCTGACTGTCACATTTATACAGTAAGACCAGAGACAAGTGACTGTCACATTCATACATTAAGACCAGAGACAGACAACTGATTGTCACATTCATGCAGTAAGACCAGAGACAACTGTGTCACATTCAAACAATAAGATAAGAAACTGACAGTCACTTTCACATAATAAGAATCAGACAGCTGACATTAACACAATAAGACCAGACAGACAGACATTGAACTGTCCTATTCGAGAGTAAAACAAACAGCAGAAAGTTGAAACTTGCTTTTATTCAGAAACCCCAAAAAAAACAAATTCTGCAGCACAGTTCAAGGATACAACCTCACACACATGATGTTACACACAGAGACAGCCAAGTCGCCGAAACATGCACATGGACATGCCAGAGAAGAACATACATAAATGAACATGCCAGATAAGGAAGGACACATATGTGAACATGCACAGACAAGAACACATATAATAAGTGAACATGTCAGATAAGAACAAACATCACATGGACAGGAAAAAGGAACATATATATATCAAATGTGATCCAGACAAAGAACATGCATAACATGAGATCCACACCAGAACATACATCACATGGACATGGCCAATGAGATCATACATCACATGGACATGGCCAATGAGATCACACATCACACGGACATGGCCAATGAGATCACACGGACACGGCAAACGAGAATACACATCACATGGACATGGCCAATGAGATCACACATCACACGGACATGGCAAATGAGAATACACATCATATGGACATGGCCAATGAGATCACACATCACATAGACATGGCAAATGAGATCACACATCACATAGACATGGCAAATGAGAATACACATCACATGGACATGGCAAATGAGAATACACATCACATGGACATGGCAAATGAGAATACACATCACATGGACATGGCCAATGAGATCACACATCACACAGACATGGCAAATGAGAATACACATCACATGGACATGGCAAATGAGATCACACATCACATAGACATGGCAAATGAGATCACACATCACATGGACACGGCAAACGAGAATACACATGACATGGACATGGCCAATGAGATCACACATCATATGGACACGGCAAACGAGAATACACATCACATGGACATGGCCAATGAGAACATACATCACATGAAGATCAAACAAACATCATATAATTTTAAAAGATGTGACTTCATGTTCCCAAAAGTTCACTATTTATAGGTGTGTGCAATTAGGAAATTAAAGATGGCCCCGGGGATCTGCAAAACATGTGTGTTGGTAAACTAAAAGTCAAAGTTCACACAAACTCAATCTTCAAGGTGCTACTTTACTGCGGAGACTCTGGAATCATTAAACTTAAATAAGGTACAATCACTGACACCCACAATCCCTCAATCACTGAATGAATGACACAGTACAACTGCTGACATGGTACAGTCACTGACATGGTGCAATCATTGACATGGTACAGTCACTGACATGGTGCAATCATTGACATGGTACAGTCACTGATATGGTAAGATCAGTACACCCAGATGTGGTACAATCATTTAATCTGGACATGACATATCACTAACACAGTACATTAATCAACACAGTATAATTAATGACAAATAATGACACTGCACCCTGATGTAATACAACCACCTAATTAATGACACACAGTACAATCAATGAGATACTACATACAATCAATGATACTGTACAAATTACGTGGTACAATCACTGCATCTAGATTCAGTACAATCACCGACATGATACAATCACTGAAATATAACTATCAGACTAGGTACAATGAAAAAAAAAAAAAATCACCACAAATGCACATCATCTGACCAAGTGATCACGCTATTTTATTTTCTCTCCGATCAAGTAATATCACCAGCCTATAGAGTTGAAAACAATGTCTTCTTGAGTCCTGACTTCAACCACATTGATTTATTGTGATAACAATCATTATTTTAATGTCCTCCTGTCCACTACCTCATCACAATGTATTCTATACAGCATTTATCTAGTAGCTTTGTCCAGTATTTTGTGTATATATATTCTTTTATATTCTACAGAGGAGTGTCCAGTACTTTGTATTCTATAGAGTGCTGTACATTATGTCATTATGTTGTCACGATGTATTCATTCTATACAGCATCTGTCAAGTATTGTGTAGATATATATGTTTTTATATACAATACTCTCCAGCACTTTGTCACAAACTTGTCATAATAAATTTGATATAATACTATCCAGTACTGTGTCACAATGTATTCTACAGAATACTATCCAGTATCTTGTCACAATGTATTAACTGCCCAGCCCTGAAATAAATCCACACCATTTATATACTGTCGCGTTCAATATGTATTCAGTGACACTGTTGGATATACTGTTATGTGCAGTATGCATCTAAACTACATTATTTAACAATGCAGTATATAATTCACATTGTTATCCGCTCCTATGGTACAGTGTATCTATCTAATCTAATCAATACTGCTAACCGTCTAGTCACATATAATAAATATCTAATCTATCCATAAATCATCCATCATAAATTTAATCACATAACTGCACACATTCTCCCGTATGTATTCACTATTTGGCGATAAATGTAAAGGAGTTGTTCCATGCGACTTTCCATCTCTAATTCACAGTCTCCCTCACATCCTTCCATCTCTAATTCAGTTTTTATACATCATTCGTCCACAATAGATCAAATTCACATTATTCATAAACACACAGTTGGAAAAAAAACAATATAAAAAAAATAAACTGTACAGCGCCCTGCTGTCCATGAAATCATTACACAGGAACATGGTCACTGTTGGACAAACAAAGTTTTTGTCTGTGTGGCACTCGGACAGCACAGACAAGACAAGCAGAGCACTACAGACAGCTTGTCTAGCTGAAACACACACGAGCTACTGTAGTGCTGCTGGCTACACAAAACCAAATGCCTTGGTCTTCACGGAAAGCAGGAGTTTGCTCTTGAGGATGGCTTTTGTTGAGTACAAGGGGATGTAGAGACGGGAGATGCAGGTGTTGGCTGTGGGCAGGTGGTCATCGTCTGCCGGTCTGATAGTGATACTGGGCATGGGTTGGAAGCCTTCTTCGCTAGCTGGCAGGGCCGGGCTGGAGGTCCAGAAGTAGACCTGGCATGCGCAGACATAGATTCATTATTAGCCAAATAATTCATTCATAGAACATCAGCAAATAGTACAGTCGTGTCAATAAGTACTGCTGTAAAAAAAGAGTTCATAAACAGGTAGTTTTGTGTGTGTGTGTGTGTGTGTGCTGTTTTTTTTCTCTTTTTTTTTTCAAGTGTCCAGAAACCATGAGTTGTTAACTCTTTGGCTTGGTACTATGGATATCGCAACCCTTCGGTCTTCATGATAGATACTGTAAAACTTTGAGGAATGTGGCTTTTCTGCCTACTCCTGGGCGTGAACCCGGACCATAATGAGTTCACCACCCAGTCGCAGCGTAGTCCGGTTTAGCCGGGCGCTAGTGAGCTGGGCATAAACAGGTAGTTAACTGGTTAGTTGCCATCAAGTTTGTAACGGTGAGTTGTAACCAAGTTATAACAGATTAGCTGTCATTAAGCTTGTAACAGGCTAGTTACTATCAAGTTTGTAACAGGTTAGTTGCCATCAAGTTTGTAACAGGTAACTCAAGCAGCTCATTCACTGAACATCAGCAAACAGTACAGTCATGTCAACACTTTGTGTGGTAGAATAGTTCATAAACAGTAAGGATTTAGCAGTCATCTGTGTATTGGGTAACCCAAACAGCATAAATATACTTGTAATGAGGTATCATCAAATGGCACAAACATATTTGTAACAGGTAACTCAAACAGTTGGCACAAACATACTTGTAGCAGGCGATTCGAGCAGTTAGCAAAGACTTATCTGTTACAATAAAGTAACAAGAGCAACTCTGTTCACAGGACTTAATGAGAGGCCAGATATCATTGAAAAAAAAAAAACTTCTTGGAATAGAAAAGGGAAAGGACTCCTTTCCATGCCTTTCAGTTGTACTGGGTATATAGGGCTAGACCTATATTTTATAGACTAAACAGCACTTGATGGGTGGTCAGCATCATGCCAGTCGCCTTTCCCTCCCAGGACTGTACCCGTACCCACTCAAGGCGAGGTCGACTTGGAAGCCAAAGTCATTTTTGAAGGAAAGAAATGTGGCCCCAACAGTAACCGAACCCACGACCTTCTAATCCGCAGGTGATTGTCAAGCCGCTAGAACACGCAAGCTATACTTTTTTGCAATGCTGACTGATTATTGTCATAATCTAAAAATTTAGAATTCAGATAAGTGTGATGCAATATACATTAAAACATACAATTAAAACAAAACAAAACTAGAAATAAGTCATTAATTAACAACAATTATTTACCAAATCTTGTCTCTCGCAGTTGTTCATCTTCTCCACCACAGCCCAGAACCAACGCTTGAACCTCTGCACCCGTTCAGAGTTTTCTCCTGGGGAAAGTATGTTGTCAACAGATCAGACAACTTCTGGCATACATTTACCACACTAGAAAGCAATAGCGACAGGACAGGACAGTGCAGGCAAAACCGACAGGACACATTAACATAGGCAGTTATCATATCAGGCAGCAATACCATAAGGACTGAATGAATGAATGAATGAATGAATGAATGAATGAATGAATGAATGAATGAATGAATGAATGAATGAATGAATGAATGAATGAATGAATGAATTGATATCACATACACTCCGTCTCCTTCCTCAGTTGCCAACGAGGAGTCAACATGCTAATAATACCAGTTGATACCTGAATACAAATCTGCCTATATCCTCCTCTCAGTGCTGAATACCTTCCAAACTCTCTGCTCACCCCACGTTGAATTAGTCTTTCAGTGTATGGATTCTTTGTCTCTTCTATTAGGCTGTCCATTTCATCCCAGAGAGCCTTCACAGCGTCTGCTTTAACAAAGAGTAGCTTTACTAGCCAGAGGAGCAGCATCAGCCAACATATCAGCCTGCTCATTATCCCAAACACCGGTATCTCCTAGACAGAAAATCCATGACACACTCCTGATCTAACTTCTATCAAGAGATACAAGCCACTCTACATACAGGACACCAGTTTCAACTTTCCAAAGCATGTTTGTGGGTCCGATATGTTGAGCTGTGTTGCTCTCAAGCCATCGTCGGAAAGCTGCCGCTACTAGCTCCATTCTCATACTGGAGTGTCAATTTACCTTTACGAGAAAACCTCATCCAAAATTCTCACCTCTCAAAACAGACCCATTGCATATATTATGATGTCACCTTGTCATGAATTTTCATTGATCAGCACTTGCACTGCTGTCTCTTTTTCATTTGCCATCCATTCTTGGCACCCTTGATCCAAGGTAACTATCTGTGCACATCTGTTTTGCTGGGCAACACTGTGATCCTAACCACATTGGCAACACTGTGATCCTAACCACATTGGCAACACTGTGATCCTAACCACACTGGCAACACTGTGATCCTATTCACATTGGCAACACTGTGATCCTATTCACATTGGCAACACTGTGATCCTAACCACACTGGGCAACACTGTGATCCTAACCACATTGGCAACACTGTGATCCTAACCACATTGGCAACACTGTGATCCTAACCACATTGGCAACACTGTGATCCTAACCACATTGGCAACACTGTGATCCTATTCACATTGGCAACACTGTGATCCTAACCACACTGGGCAACACTGTGATCCTAACCACATTGGCAACACTGTGATCCTAACCACACTGGGCAACACTGTGATCCTAACCACATTGGCAACACTGTGATCCTAACCACATTGGCAACACTGTGATCCTAACCACATTGGCAACACTGTGATCCTAACCACATTGGCAACACTGTGATCCTAACCACATTGGCAACACTGTGATCCTAACCACACTGGGCAACACTGTGATCCTAACCACATTGGCAACACTGTGATCCTAACCACACTGGGCAACACTGTGATCCTAACCACATTGGCAACACTGTGATCCTAACCACATTGGCAACACTGTGATCCTAACCACACTGGGCAACACTGTGATCCTAACCACACTGGGCAACACTGTGATCCTAACCACACTGGGCAACACTGTGATCCTAACCACATTGGCAACACTGTGATCCTAACCACATTGGCAACACTGTGATCCTAACCACACTGGGCAACACTGTGATCCTAACCACACTGGGCAACACTGTGATCCTAACCACACTGGGCAACACTGTGATCCTAACCACACTCTATTTTCTCAGTAGTACAAACATTTCTTATACTGACTTCTGTCTGTGCCCTCTAAATACTACCTCTTTTTGGCCGATGTCCCTTGCTATCTCTTAACGCCTCGTGTAGAAGATAATTCCTGTCCGTGGCAACTTGAAGGTATATTTTATTAGCTTTGAACAACATGTATCTTTCCTATGGCATCCGTGGCTTAGGTGCTGCGAGTCCAACGTACCACAATCGAAACCCACTGCCGGCTGTGTGGATTGTTATCATGGTATGGGGCGTCACGGGTCGAACCAGCCTAAAATGGGTACCAGGGTGGCTGCCCTGGGGAAGTAAAGACTGCCGGCGTAATGCTGACCACATTACCCACCTAGTGTCGATTGGCTTGTACAAAATTTGGGACACTCTTCACATATGCCCGATGCGCCTAAGGCGTGAAAAGGGATCTTTATTTTTCCTATACAGATAGCAATACAACACAAGTATGTGCCACATGCACATGACTGCTGTGTCCCAAGTACAGCTTCTCTATCTGGGTGTGAGATCATGTTAGCCGTCCCAAAGCATAATCCATCACCGAGATAATCAGTTGCTGGTAGAGAGTATAGAGCATTCTCTGTTCCATTTCCACAGACCGGTTAGTTGGTTAGTTGTGTATCCTTTACAGGACGTTGCAGAACCAACCCTAACAGCCCCTGGCTGTTGTGTGGTTTTTCTAGGCAAATTTACATCCAGTAGTTTGCCATTGTTTTCTGGACGGTCGGCTTTTTTGATACCACTGTCGAAACCAACGCAAAGCTCATGGCCCGCAGCTGGGATCGAACCCGGCATCCTGGCATTACGACGAAGCGTTTGCGTCGACTTAGCCACAGCGCCGACCCCGTTGAGACCATCACCTTCAATATGTTGTGGCAATACCAACAGAACATTAAAGGTAATACAAACAGGATAGTGAAGGTAATACCAACAGGACAGTGATGGCAATACCAATAGGACAGTGAAGGTAATACCAACAGGACAGTGATGGCAATACCAATAGGACAGTAAAGGTAATACCAATAGGACAGTGAAGGCAATGCCAACAGGATAGTGAAAGTAATACTAGCAGGGCACATTAATAAAAGTATCTACTATACCAGATACGGGATAGAAAACAAACAGGACATGAGGACACAGATGATAACATTAACAGGAAATTACACTAGATGACATTAAATGTCAGACACTAGTTAAGAATAAGGTAGTCTGACTGCAATTATATCACACTAAACAACTTCCTTGCGTGAACTCCAGAACCATTTTAAGGTATTATTAAAAATACTGATAGACTCACCCACTGACAACTTCTCCCCCTCAACCCTATCCAGCATGTTTTAAAAGGCTACTAATGTCGCTAGATAAATCTTAACTCCATACTAAACTGGTCAAAAGTCAGTAGATCAATCTTAACCCCATACTAAACTGGTCAAATGTCATTAGATGAATCTTAACGCAATACTAAACTGATCAAATGTCAGTAGATGAATCTTAACTCCATACTAAACTGTTCAAATGTCACCAGATAAATCTTAACCCCACACTAAACTGGTCAAATGTCAGTAGATGAATCTTAACACAATACTAAACTGGTCAAATGTCAGTAGATGAATCTTAACACAATACTAAACTGGTCAAATGTCAGTAGATGAATCTTAACGCAATACTAAACTGGTCAAAAGTCAGTAGATGAATCTTGACGCAATACTAAACTGGTCAAAAGTCAGTAGATGAATCTTGACGCAATACTAAACTGGTCAAATGTCAGTAGATGAATCTTAACTCAAGACTGAACTTAAACTGGTCAAATGTCAGTAGATGAATCTTAACAATACTAAACTGGTCAAATGTCAGTAGATGAATCTTAACTCAAGACTGAACTTAAACTGGTCAAATGTGAGTAGAGTCTTAGATCAATCTTAAAAGTCAGACTCAAACTGAAAAGTCAGTAACTTGAAACTGGTCAAATGTCAGTAGATGAATCTTAACTCAAGACTGAACTTAAACTGGTCAAATCAATACTAAAATGTTTAAACACTGTCAGTCAAATCTCAAGAACTCTGAACTCAACTAGTCCAATATGAGGCGTTCAATACACATTACAAGGGTGTATTCGGTTGAACATGAAAAAAAGTCAAGCAGAGTTGGACTTACCACTTTCATCATTGAAGGAGGTGTAACTGATGAGTGTCTGCACATTAATGTCCCCCACGCCATTCAGCAGCAGCCGCAGATCCTCAGCTGTGAGGCCATCCAGGGAATTGGAAGGAATGACATCAAAGACTCCGAGACGTATATTCTGCCAACAGAGGAAAGCATTCAATCAGTCACTGCCTGCAACAAGCTACATAGAGACATCACAAACCTTATACTGGCTTTTTTGTGGTTTCTTTAACAGCAAAGATTACCTGTGAGGGGAAAAAAAAGAATAGACCCACTGCTCCCTAACAAGCATGTCCTAACAGGGATGTTTCCTTTGAAGTTGGAGCACATACACCTGTTAGGAACCAATGATTTACATCCAAACAAGTCAGATCTGTAAAACTCAAGTTCTGCAATAAGACTAAAGTCCAGAGATGGACAAATGACCAGTGAAGAAAATGAACGCAAAGAAAAAGAATAATACTTTCATACACACACTAGACATGCACATCATGTGATCAACATTTAACAAATTTAGAGATGTTTAAACCATAAATAATGTGATGGTGATGCCAATTAATTATAGTCGTTTCAGTGTTAAGAGGCAAAAGAAGTGCTAGGGGGTTCTTAGCAAAAGTTATGTTCGATGTGTGGTGCAGGAGAGCCTAGCCTATGACACCACAATATCCAGCTTAAGAATGGAGGTGGAGTCGGTCATTGCAGCTTTCCACAGGCTAGAGAACACGATACAGAAACACATACACTGACTGTAACTGACTCAGAAAGCATGCGGACGAAGGTAAGGGAAGGCATGCTTCATGCAGAGTGACATGCTTCGCTTTGCTTTGCAGGTGTGTTGGGAAATGAACAGGTGGATACATCTGCTGGCTCTGCACAACTAAGCTGATTAGTTTACGCGATATTGGAAAATGAGCAGGCGGATAGACTGGCCGGTTCTGCACCACTTGTGGTGAACTGATATATGACAAGCTGAATGTTGTGAGGGCCCTTTGGGAGCGATTGAACGGTGCCAAGGAACAGATAGAACATTACGGTCTGAGGAGAATGGCACTGCGAGGAGTTACAAGGGAATCTGGCCGATGCTCGACACTCAGAGGAGGAGGCGGAACGGATGTAAAATCAGACTGTTACTGGAACTACTGGCACTTGAAGTCTGTGCATTGGAATTTTAACTCTTCGCTTGCTGCTGAAGATGGGGACGGAGCGCTTTTGGGAGTGTCCCGAGTGCTGTGATGTCAATTCTATATTCAACATTCAACAGTTGATTAGTGAGGCATGATTAGGCAGATGTAGTCAAGGCCTAACGGGACAATTCGGAGAATCTGATGGATCATCACAGTCTGGTGAGTGTGATGCAGCGAGGAGTGACGAGGGGATCTGGCGGATACTCGACACTCAGAGGAAAGGCGAGACGGATGTATTATTAGACTGCTACTGGAACTACTGGCACTTGAAGTCTGTGCTGGGTGCTGAAGATGGGGACGAAGCGCTTATGGGAATGCCCTGAGTGCTGTGATATTGGTTCTTGACTCAACTCAACTCTTTAACTATAAATATCTTCATCCAGAACAAGAGAAAAACACTCTTGAATAAAAAATTTGTATATAGGTAAATAAAAAAACATTGTAGGCAACTATCAGTCTCTAGGGACCACGGAGTTGTGCCGCTGGTTTTTCAGAACAATGTCTGCTGTGACTATAAGTCCTACGTGGAATCGACAGTATCTGCCTCACAGACTACTACGTTGATACTGTTATACTGAAACTGGTCTTCTCTCAAGACGTTCTCCCCTCCATAGATTGCTGCCTTTGATCTCTTGCAAAATGTGACAATCTGTCTTTCACGGTCTGCCTCTATTGGAGTCATTCTGCAGCTGATCTCATGTCTGGCTTAGTGCTGTCATCTTTAATGTCAGGTCTGCAGATTACCTTTGCATTGAATATCTGTGAAAGCCATGAAAAGTGAATCCTTACCAGAGTATAGAATATGATAAACATGAATGGAAGCTCTCTTGTGCGCAGGCACACACACACAACCTACAGAACCATGGTAACCTAGCCTACTGACCTTCAGGGCCTTCTCTGCAACAAGAACCATCCTGTGTTCGGCATACTTGCGCACATAATTGTGAACATTTTGAGCTGTCACCTCCACCTCTGCACCATCTGGTATCAGCTCCACCTGCTCACCACCCTGCAACAAACAGCCAGAAGACATGTTAGCATGTGTAAAAGCACCAGACAGTAACAAAACATACGGGCTCTTTCCGTCCCAGAAAGGTAATTACTCAATATACATCACATCTTCTTCTTCTTCTTTCGTTCGCCTGAAATAAGTTGTCTATATCAGCAGTTTTTTTGTCTCTTGTATAAATTTCACTGTCGTTAGTTCATTCAGTGGTCCATAGAGTTTATGTTCCACTGTTGTTCTTTCTGACCAAAAGGTTTGCCTTAATGTGTCATAATCGGTGCAGTCCTGGAGTACATGCTCTGCTGTCTGGGGCACATTTCCACAGGTGCACATGGCTGATACATTTATCTTGAATTTTGTGTACATGTGGTTACGTAATCGGTTGTGCCCTGTTCTGAGGCGGAGGATAATGACTTGTTCTGGTCTGTCCATAATAAAATAGTCGTCTTGTGCTGGGGCTGGTGGTTTCCTGATCGATTTAACGATTCTTTTCTTTTGGTGATATGTGACTGGTACATCCGGCTGCTCTTTTGTCGCACCTTCCTCTGCCAGTTGATCAGCTTTCTCATTTCCAGGCACTCCACAATGAGACGGTATCCACTGCATTACGACTCTTCGCTGAACGCTGAGTTGTGTCAGCAGTGTTTGCAATTCTGGAAGTTTCCTAGACTGGAATGTTCAAGTACTGATTTAGCATCTGCCAGCATTACCACATACTGTGAGCCAAGGTTGGTATTTAGCAGTTTCTCTGTAGCTATCTTGATAGCCTGGTTTCTGCATCGTAGTTATGGCAGTACTTCCCAGTTGGTACGCTGGACTTATCCCTAGTACCATCTGGGAATTCGATGTACACTCCAGCGCCACCATTTCTAACTGCACTTTCTGCGGACCCATCTGTATAGACTCTGACCCATTGTTCTTGTGGGTATTCTTCATCAATATAACTGAGGGTGGCCATTCTGCGTTGTACACTATCTAGCTCTTTCTTGTCAAATATCCCTTTCACATTTGTCTGGATTTGTACCATTAGTTTACATTTTTCTCTCCATGGGGTTTGTTCCGGAATACTTTTAAGTGGGCAACCAATTTCTGGAAGGTCAGGAGTTTGTCTACATATTCTTTTTGCTTGGTGTATAAAGCTGCTTCTTTTTAACCGTCCCAAGGCTAGGTTCTTAAATCTATTTTCCATCGGGTGATCTGGCATACTTAGGAACTTTTCAGCTTGTATTTGCAACTTTGTATCTCTGCGTTCTCTCAGTGCCTGTGTTTTCCCAGCTTTCTCCATTTCTAATATGGGGGTTGATTTCATCCCTCTTTTAATGACTCTGAGCGCTTGATTTTGCACTTTGTCTAACTCCTTTAATGTGGTACTAGATGCTGAACACCATGCAGTTGACACATATTCCAAGTGTGGAAGTATGCTCTGCTTGTATACTTTATTTAGTATTTTCCCATCGGCTACCCATGTAGTTCCACTTAGTTTTCTTAGTATTGCTGTCTTCCTCCTGGCTTTGGTTGCTGCCTTGTTGATATGTTTTCTCCATGTCAACCTGTCATCAAATGTGACTCCTAGGTATGTGGGCTCTTTATAATCTCTCAGGGGTATTCTGTTTATTTTGATGGTGCATGTACATGACATGAATAATGATACAGTTAATAATGATACAAATCATAGAAACAATGATATACTCCACAATGATACAAATCATAGAAACAATGATACAAATCACAATTCAAAATTAGCGTGGAAAACAAGAGAAAATAAAACTGGGCTGGGACATCTAAAAACTGTTTACAGTGATAAACTCATTGCCAAAGTCAGAGAACAGATATGTGAAGACCAGTGCCTAAGTGTGAGAATAAAGGCAGATAAATATGATGTTGAATTTGATAAATGTTAATCTGATTATTTAAGTGTCAGATTGTGTATACACACAACAACAAATGTTGAGTGTACCCGGTACTTTACAATCATACAACAACAGTCTACAGAGATTTTCTATACAGTGCTAACTCATCATCATGTAGCAGGTCCTTTGCAGAACGTCGCTCTCATCACGGTTTGCCTGAAAGAAACTGTCTCTTGCCAGTTCTCCTGCACCATGCACTTTCTTTCATACTCAAGGAGTTACTTATATCCTGTGCCCATCATCGTGTCGGTCGGCCCCTGCCCCTCCTTTCTGGCTTCATGCCTTCTGCTATAATTTTTTCTAATCTGCTAATTATTTCTTGATGTTTCTTAAGCGTAGCACAGGGCCAGCCAAATTACAAAAGCGGGCGGAAACCACAACAAATAGAAAGCATATTGAACACAATCCAATTTATAAAACGCCAATCTTTCTTGATGTTCAGATCTTTCAAGTTGTCAGTATTTCTCTCTCTTCTTTGTCCAAGATATTCTGAGAATCTTTCTATAGTATTTAGTGCTAACTATAGATAGATATAAGCGGTGTCCGTGGCTAAGGCGTTGTGAGTCCGACTCGTAATTCCAACGTTCCACGATAGAAACCCACTGCTAGCTGCCTGGATTTTTATCATGGTATGGGACGTCGCAGGTCGACTCAGCCTAAAATGGGTATAAGGATGTATGTCCTGGGGAAGTAAACACGGCCGGCGTAATACTGACATTACCCACCCAGTGCCGATTGGTCTGTAAAAATATGAGTGCTCTTCCCATATGCCCGATGCGCCTATGGTGTGAAAAGGGATCTTTACTTTACTTTTTACTTTACAGATAGATATAAATGCACACAAAAACACAAGTTGGACTATCAAGTGGTTTGCTTCCACAGATCTACTGCCAACACAGTCTCTTATGAAGAGGAGAAAAATATCAGTCAACCAGTGCCTTACCTCCTCAGCACAAAGTTCCACACAAAAGTTCAAATCCAGGGCTGTAAAGATGAGCTGGGCATCTTTAGTCTCTGCATCCTCCACCAGCGAGCGTAACGACTCGTACATGACAGGGTCAAAGAAGGCAAGGTCATGCCAGCCAGTGCGACGACCCAGGATACACTTGAGCACATGTCGGTTAAAGAACAATGGGCAGATCTCATTCTGAAGTAGACACAGGCCAATGATTCTGTGGATAGAGAATGGTCAATTAACTAGCAGTCTAAAGTACTGTCTAATAATATAAATAGGCTGTTCTCTGAACTATTTATCTAAAAACTTTAACTGGCTGTTAGCTGATTTCACTATTTTTCTGTTAGCTAATGTCACCATTTGTCTCACAACATTAACTGGCTGTTTGCTGATGTCACTATTTGTCTCACAACATTAACTGGCTGTTTGCTGATGTCACTATTTGTCTCACAACATTAACTGGCTGTTTGCTAATGTCACCATTTGTCTCACAACATTAACTGGCTGTTTGCTGATGTCACTATTTGTCTCACAACATTAACTGGCTGTTTGCTGATGTCACTATTTGTCTCACAACATTAACTGGCTGTTTGCTGATGTCACTATTTGTCTCACAACATTAACTGGCTGTTTGCTGATGTCACTATTTGTCTGACAACATTAACTGGCTGTTTGCTGATGTCACTACTTGTCTGACAACATTAACTGGCTGTTTGCTGATGTCACTACTTGTCTGACAACATTAACTGGCTGTTTGCTGATGTCACTACTTGTCTGACAATGTTAACTGGCTGTTCACTGATGTGATGTCACAATCTTTCTAACAACATTAACTGGCTGTTCACTGATTTCCCGTCCCTATTGTCTGACAACGTTAACTGGCTGTTCACTGATGTCACTATTTGTCTGACATTAACAAGCTGTAAGCTGATGTCCCATTCCTATTTGTCTGACAACATTAACTGGCTGTTTGCTGATGTCACTATTTGTCTCACAACATTAACTGGCTGTTCACTGATGTCACTATTTGTCTGACAATGTTAACTGGCTGTTTTTTGACGTCACTATTTGTCTGACAACGTTAACTGGCTGTTCAATGATGTCACTATTTGTCTGACAACATTAACTGGCTGTTCACTGATGTCACTATTTGTCTGACATTAACAAGCTGTACGCTGATGTCCCATTCCTATTTGTCTGACAACATTAACTGGCTGTTTGCTGATGTCACCATTTGTTCAACAATATGACTTATTTGTATGTGTGGGTCTACAACATTCTTGACTATACTGCATCAATAATTATGTTCTACAACCTAATTCCTATTTTATCTTCTTCTTCTTTGCATACATTAGCTGTAAACTATGGCAGAAGGTTCTAGTTGTTTGTTTACCACTGGACTTTAATCTAGTTCCAGAACCTGAGTGTCATGCGCACACACATCTAACAGATATGACTTAATTGTATGCAGATTGTTAGTTCCTTGTCTCTCAAGCAGATACATCCCAACTTTGAAGGAACCCCTAATTAGTCGACTCTTACGACATGCTTCTTGGGGAGGCAATGGGGCCAGGAAACCTGCAGAGGGATCCTACTTTATAATATCACAGTTTTTGCTACAACTTCATGATTCATTACAACCAGCCTAGTATGAGAACAACCAGTAGAGGTATCTTAAGGTGGCTGCTGCACCGAGAACTGAGCACTCATAGAAAGGAAAGTGACAATGACTTTAATAATATAAATAAAACTTTGCCATTACCTTCCAATGTTTCTGAAAGCGTTGAGTCTCTCGGGTGAAGCCTTGCCTATCCTGGGGCAGTAGTAGCCTCGTTTCCCCGGCTGCCAGAAGAGAGGAGCGTTGTCTTCAATGTCATCCTCCATGAGGAGCTCACAGGCCAGACCCTCCCCAGTGCGAGCTGCACTAGCAGCTGCTGCAGCAGCTGATGAGGAAGGAGGGGTCTTGGATTTGTCAGACGACAAGTTGAAGATGTCCAGATCAAGAAAACTGTCAGAACTCATCTCTCTGTGACACAGACACATATATTTCATTACTAGGGCAAACACTCTGATTGGTTCAATTAATGAAACAGGCACAACAATAATTTTAATTACTGGGGCACACATATACATTGCTTCAATTACTGGAGTAAAATAAATCATTGTTTTCAATACTGGAACAGGCATAAAAATTATTTTAATTATTGCGGCACAAGCAAATACATGTTTCATTTTCATGGGGCACAAGAATATATTGTTTCAATAAATGGAACAGGCACAAATTATTTTAATTATTGGGGCACACACACAGTTTCAATTACAAGGGGAAGGGGGAAATTTTCGTTATTACACCAGGCAAACACATTCTTTCAAATATTGAAGCATGCGCCTGCAAGCTGCATGCATGCGCCCACACACATGCACAAGCATGCATACACATGAGCACAAACATAAACACACCTTGTTTTAGTTACTGGGGCCGAATAATAATATGTTTCAAATACTGGAACAGGTACACAAATTACTTTAATTAGTGGGGCAAACACAAATACACGTTTATACTACTGAGGTATGATCACGTGGCAGAAACAGACCAGGGTAGTGTTGCTGTACCCTATTTGCTAATGTGCTGAGTCTATGTGGTAGTGGGTACATGTGGAAGTGGGTCTATGTGGAAGTGGGTCTACGTGGAAGTGGGTCCATATTTTAGTGGGTCCATATGGTAGTGGGTCCATATGGTAGTGGGTCCATATGGTACTCAGACCATGTGGTACTGGGTTCCTGGTACTGAGTCTTCTATGTTGTACTGAGTCCATATGGTAGTGGGTCCATGTGTTAGCAGTTCCATGTGTTAGTGGGTCAATGTGGTATTGGGTTCATGTGGTATGGGGTCCAAGAGGTAGTATTGGGTTCAAATTATACTGGGTTCATGTGTATTACTGTCTTCATTTAGCTATAGGACTTGAAAGAGAAGCAAGGTGTCCTGAAAATGCAGTGATGTTTATGACTGCTTTGTGGCTGGATGATTTCTTCAAATAAAGAGCTCAATAGAACAATATTTGCCTGATCAATGAAAAAACAGTATTAATTTTGTCCATGAGAAAACAGTATTAGCTTGATGCGTGAGAAAACAGTGGATTGGTCCATGAGAAAACAGTATTTGCCTGCTCCTTGAAAAAAATATTCAGTACATGCACACTCCATGCAAACTAACGATCAAGTGCTCCCTATTGAATGGAGACTGTTACATACATTCCTTATTTATCTTCTTGTAAATAGATGAATGATGACACCACCATGGACAAATGAAAACAGAAATTAAGAAATCATGAAAGAAACTGACTACTGAAGAGAACTGATTGCCCACAACAGAAGGATACAATCTACCCACATCAGAAGTAGACAATCTACATTCTCTGACTTTGCCATAAGAAGAGGAAAAACTGGAGTACATTGTGACAGTGAGAAAGTGACGGGGTAACGAAACAGTGGGAGACCAAGAATATTCTAACAGTTTGACTACATGACAAAAAAGATCATTTGTGTCCAAATTTACTGAAAGTACACAAGACAGAAGGTTGTGGACAGACACGACTACCATCATCACATGGCATGAACTATAAGAAAGCAGGCATAAGGTGATCAATGGTGTCGTGACCTACATTTGCAGCTCTGGTACTGAAAAAACTTGTGAGTGAAATTATCCCCTATGTTACCAACCTGAAACAGGCCTTTAGGCAAATGCATTCTAACTTGTGCCTTCAGATCCCAAGTAAGTGGGTACAATTATTCATAGGTTCTTTTACTTTTATTGTTTTCACCCCATACTGGGGCCCCCGAGATTCTGTGGAGAATACCTGGCAAAATCTAATATTATGGGGGTTGTCAGTGTTCATTTCATACCCTAACATCCCTGTTATTAAGACTTTTCAGGGAATTTCCCACAAAATCTTACAGGCTCCAAGATGGGGTGAAATAAAAGAAAAATATTGATTCACTTGCTATAAACCTGTTCCTCAGATCAGCACTCATACCAATTATCTAAACTAACAATACGTTTTGTATTTCTGAAATATCTGCTCTGGACAATTCTGCAGCAGGCCGCTTTGTGCTTATTTTAACAATGGTGTAAAGGGCTGGCTATTCAGAAGCTACATGTATACAATCAGACGGCTACTGGTGTCTTTAGAATTGGGACTCTTCGCTTGCTGCTGAAGATGGGAACAGAGCACTTATGACATTATCCAAAGTGCTGTTATGTCGATTTTTAATTCAACATTGTTCAGAAGCTTTGGTAAACTAGTGAGCAAAAAGTTACGTAGTACAACTAAACAGCCTGAGGTAGATTCTGCAACATCCTGTAAAACGTAAAACAGGCATGTCAATCTAAGGGTCCCGTGGAGGCCATATAGGTCACATTTTATCCTCATGGGAGCCACATACGACAATAAAACTGGAGTCATTTAATGAACACTGATGCAGAATATTTCCTTTCTGCGAGCCGTAGGCGTGATTGCAAAGGAGCGCATGTGGCCCGCGAGCTGCCAGTATGGCATGCCTGTTGTGAAGGATATGCAACAAACAACTAATCAATAATACAGGCAAACAAACATACTGACCTTCCATGGGTGGTAATAATCTCCACAGCCTCATCCACCCTCTGTCTCAGAGACTCATCTGAAGCCAACAGGAGCACCAGCTGTGATGGAGACAGTTCTAGAAGCATTCCAGTAATTTTGGCGGCTAGACTCTGGGAACATCATTAAAAATGTTACAGTTACTTTAGACTCGGGAAATCATAACACAGCGCTACAGTAACTTTAGACTCTGGGAAACTTTATAGTAACCTAGAATTTGGGGAATCAGGACACGATATTAGAGCATCATTACACTCTGGAGAATTCTACACTAGCTATAGACTGGAGAATCCAGACACAATGTTACAATAGCTTTAGACTGAAGAATCGGGACGTTATTTAATTACCTTAAGAATCTGGGTAAAGTTACAGTAATTAGACGCTAAGGAACATTATAGTAGGTTAAGGCACTGGGAAATGTTACAGTAACTTTAGAATCTGAGGAATTATTACAAAGACTAGAGAACATTAGGGTAACTTTAGACTCTGGATAATGTTACAGCTTTGTAGATACTGGGGAACATTACAGTTACTTCTGATTCTGGGGAATGTTGAAGTAACTTTGGATACTGGGGAAATTACAGTAACCATAGACAATGGGAAAATTTACAGATTAGGATGTATTACATTTAACTTCAGATTCTGGGGAATATTACAGCACCCCTAGACTCTGGAGAATGTTACAGTATCTTTAGAATCTGGGAAATCAGAACACAATGTTTTGTAAAGTTTCAACTGTGGGGAATCAACACACAATGTTACAGTAACTTTAGAATAGGGGAGATCAGAACACAATGTTACAAAGACCTTAGAGTGGGGAATCAAACAATGTTACAATAACTTTAGACCAGGGAATCGACGAACAGTGATTTAGTAACTTTAGATTCCGGAGAATCAGAACACACTGTTTCTGTAACCTAAGATAGGGAACCAACAGACACTGTTACTGTAACCTTAGAATGGGGAACTAACACACAATGTTAGTTACCTTAGAAAGGGAATCAACAAACAATGTTACTTTAGATTCTCGGGAATCAGAACACACTGTTACAGTTAACTATAAACTCTAGGTCAGGATGGTCAAAATACAACAAAACACAAACAAGCTGTGAAAACTAACTCTGATATCTCCACACACAAAAAGGATGGGTTGTGTCAAGAAGATGGTGGAGAACCAGTCAGCAGTATATTAAAGCTGGGGGTGGTGCCTGGTGTCAAGATCATGCTGGAGAACCAATGAACAGCATATTAAAACAGGGGTGGGGGGGGGGGGTGGGGTGGGTGGGTGGCGCGGCGGCATGTGTACACACATGTGTCAAGATAATGCTGGAGAACCAATGAACAATATTTTAGTTGGGGGGGGGGGGGGGGGGGGGGGGGTTGGTGTGTGTGTGTGTGTGTGTGTGTGTGCACGTGTGTGTGTGTGTCAAGATAATGCTGGAGAAACAATGAACAATATTTTAGTTGGGGGAAAGTGTGTGTGTGCGTGCACGTGTCAAGATAATGCTGGAGAACCAATGAACATTTTAGTTGGCGGGAAAGTGTGTGTGCGTGCACGTGTGTGTGTCAAGATGATGCTGGAGAACCAATGAACAATATTTTAGTTGGGGGGAAAGTGTGTGTGTGCGTGCACATGTCAAGATAATGCTGGAGAACCAATGAACAACATTTTAGTTGGGGGGGAAGTGTGTGTGTGCGTGCACATGTGTGTCGCAAGTTGATTCTGGAGGACCAATGAACAACATTTTAGTTGGGGGGAAAGTGAGTGTGTGCGTGCACATGTGTGTGTCAATATGATGCTGGAGAACCAATGAACAACATTTTAGTTGGGGGAAAGTGTGTGTGTGCGTGCACGTGTCAAGATGATGCTGGAGAACCAATGAACATTTTAGTTGGGGGGAAAGTGTGTGTGTGCATGCATGTGTGTGTGTCAAGATGATGCTGGAGAACCAATGAACAACATTTTAGTTGGGGGGAAAGTGTGTGTGTGCGTGCACATGTCAAGATGATGCTGGAGGACCAATGAACAACATTTTAGTTGGGGGGAAAGTGTGTGTGTGCGTGCACGTGTCAAGATAATGCTGGAGAACCAATGAACAACATTTTAGTTGGGGGGAAAGTGTGTGTGAGCGTGCATGTGTGTGTGTCAAGATGATGCTGGAGGACCAATGAACAACATTTTAGTTGGGGGGAAAGTGTGTGTGTGCCTGCACGTGTGTGTGTGTGTCAAGATGATGCCGGAGGACCAATGAACAACATTTGACCAAGAAGATTGGTGTCAGGAAAAAAGTAAACAGAGAAACAAGCAAATAGTGTCCAAAGTTTTTATCAACAAACCAGAGAATACTACAAAATGAAATAGCACAACCATATCAGAACAGTTTTTGGTAGTTGCTGCTTATTAAACAACAAGAATCAACAAGATAGGTAAACAAAAATACTGGACAAGTGAACAGAAGAAACAAAAATACAAACAGGAAACAGTGGGAAAACAATAACAGATGAAGATTATCATATCAATTTTGAGTCCACCAGTAAACTTACCGGCCTGAGGGCTCGAACCTTGGGATACAGCCTCTCACCCAACTGACGACGGTACTGAGTGATTGCTTCAGAGCCACTATCAGGGTTATCCACCCCAGAAACGCTGGTGGAGCTTCCTGCAGGCGGATCTGTGGGCATGTAGAAGGGTGGGGCATCATAGGACAATGTTCGTCTCATTTCTCTGTCCCGGCTGCGCTGTCTGATGGTGCTTCTCTGTCTCTCCCTCTCTCTGTCGCGAGACCGCAGGCGGTTGATGAGATCTACAAATAAATCATATGCTGACAACAGGGGGACTGCATGTTTCTATCTACTGTTACCTACAGGGTGACTGCATGTTTCTATCTACTGTTACCAACAGGGTGACTGCATGTTTCTATCTACTGTTACCAACAGGGTGACTGCATGTTTCTATCTACTGTTCCCAACAGTGTGACTGCATGTTTCTATCTACTGTTCCCAACAGGGTGACTGCATGTTTCTATCTACTGTTACTTCTATCTACTATTCCCAACAGGGTTACTGCATGTTTTATCTATTGTTACTTCTATCTACAGTTACCAACACTGTGACTGCATGTTTCTATCTACTGTTACTTCTATCTACTATTCCCAACAGGGTGACTGCATGTTTCTATCTACTGTTACTTCTATCTACTATTCCCAACAGGGTGACTGCATGTTTTATCTATTGTTACTTCTATCTACAGTTACCAACACTGTGACTGCATGTTTCTATCTACTGTTACTTCTATCTACTATTCCCAACAGGGTGACTGCATGTTTCCATCTACTGTTACTTCTATCTACTGTTCTCAACAGGGTGACTGCATGTTTTCTATCTACTATTTCCAACAGGGTGACTGCATGTTACTATCTACTGTTACTTCTATCTACAATTTCCAACAGGGTGACTGTATCTATTGTTACTTCTATCTACTGTTCCCAACAGGGGGACTGCATGTTTATATCTATTGTTACTTCTATTTACTGTTCCCAACACCGTGACTGCATGTTTCTATCTAATGTTACTTCAATCTACTGTTACCAACACAGTGACTGCATGTTTCTATCTACTGTTACTTCTATCTACTGTTCCCAACAGGGTGACTGCATGTTTCTATCTACTGTTACTTCTATCTACTGTTTCCAACAGGGTGACTGCATGTTTCTATCTACTGTTACTTCTATCTACTGTTCCCAACAGGGTGACTGCATGTTTATATCTACTGTTACTTCTATCTACTATTCCCAACAGGGTGACTGCATGTTTATATCTACTGTTACTTCTATCTACTATTCCCAACAGGATGACTGCATGTTTTCTATCTACTATTTCCAACAGGGTGACTGCATGTTACTATCTACTGTTACTTCTATCTACAATTTCCAACAGGGTGACTGCATGTTTCTATCTATTGTTACTTCTATCTACTGTTCCCAACAGGGTGACTGCATGTTTATTATCTATTGTTACTTCTATCTACTGTTACCAACACCGTGACTGCATGTTTCTATCTACTGTTACTTCTATCTACTGTAACCAACAGAGTGACTGCATGTTTCTATCTACTGTTACTTCTATCTACTGTTCCCAACATGGTGACTGCATGTTTCTATCTACTGTTACTTCTATCTACTGTTCCCAACAGGGTGACTGCATGTTTATTATCTATTGTTACTTCTATCTACTGTTCCCAACAGGGTGACTGCATGTTTATATCTACTGTTACTTCTATCTACTATTCCCAACAGGGTGACTGCATGTTTCCATCTACTGTTACTTCTATCTACTGTTCTCAACAGGGTGACTGCATGTTTTCTATCTACTATTTCCAACAGGGTGACTGCATGTTACTATCTACTGTTACTTCTATCTACAATTTCCAACAGGGTGACTGCATGTTTCTATCTATTGTTACTTCTATCTACTGTTCCCAACAGGGGGACTGCATGTTTATATCTATCGTTACTTTAATCTACTGTTACCAACACAGTGACTGCATGTTTCTATCTACTGTTACTCCTATCTACTGTTACCAACAGGGTGACTGCATGTTTCTATCTACTGTTACTTCTATCTACTGTTTCCACCAGGGTGACTGCATGTTTCTATCTACTGTTACTTCTATCTACTGTTCCCAACAGGGTGACTGCATGTTTCTATCTACCGTTACTTCTATCTACTATTCCCAACAGGGTGACTGCATGTTTATATCTACTGTTACTTCTATCTACTGTTACCAACAGAGTGACTGCATGTTTCTATCTACTGTTACTTCTATCTACTATTCCCAACAGGGTGACTGCATGTTTCCATCTACTGTTACTTCTATATACTGTTCTCAACAGGGTGACTGCATGTTTTCTATCTACTATTTCCAACAGGGTGACTGCATGTTACTATCTACTGTTACTTCTATCTACAATTTCCAACAGGGTGACTGCATGTTTCTATCTATTGTTACTTCTATCTACTGTTTCCAACAGGGGGACTGCATGTTTATATCTATTGTTACTTCTATCTACTGTTACCAACACAGTGACTGCATGTTTCTATCTACTGTTACTCCTATCTACTGTTCCCAACAGGGTGACTGCATGTTTCTATCTACTGTTACTTCTATCTACTGTTTCCACCAGGGTGACTGCATGTTTCTATCTACTGTTACTTCTATCTACTGTTCCCAACAGGGTGACTGCATGTTTATATATACTGTTACTTCTATCTACTATTCCCAACAGGGTGACTGCATGTTTATATCTACTGTTACTTCTATCTACTATTCCCAACAGGATGACTGCATGTTTTCTATCTACTATTTCCAACAGGGTGACTGCATGTTACTATCTACTGTTACTTCTATCTACAATTTCCAACAGGGTGACTGCATGTTTCTATCTATTGTTACTTCTATCTACTGTTCCCAACAGGGTGACTGCATGTTTATATCTATTGTTACTTCTATCTACTGTTACCAACACCGTGACTGCATGTTTCTATCTACTGTTACTTCTATCTACTGTTACCAACAGGGTGACTGCATGTTTCTATCTACTGTTACTTCTATCTACTGTTCCCAACAGGGTGACTGCATGTTTCTATCTACTGTTACTTCTATCTACTGTTCCCAACAGGGTGACTGCATGTTTTTATCTACTGTTACTTCTATCTACTGTTCCCTACAGGGTGACTGCATGTTTCTATCTACTGTTACTTCTATCTACTGTTCCCAACAGGGTGACTGCATGTTTTCTATCTACTGTTCCCAACAGGGTGACTGCTGTTTCTACCTACTGTTACTTCTATCTACTGTTCCCAACAGGATGATGCATGTTTTCTATGTACTGTTACCAACAGGATGACTGCATGTTTCTATCTACTGTTCCCAACAGGGTGACTGCATGTTTCTATCTACTGTTACTTCTATCTACTGTTCCCAACAGGGTGACTGCATGTTTCTATCTACTGTTCCCAACAGGGTGACTGCATGTTTCTTTCTATCTACTGTTCCCAACAGGGTGACTGCTTGTTTCTATCTAATGTTACTTCTATCTACTGTTCCCAACAGGGTGACTGTATGTTTCTATCTACTGTTACTTCTATCTACTGTTCCCAACAGGGTGACTGCATGTTTCTATCTACTGTTGGCAACAGGGTGACTGAACTTACCTAAGAGTTTATTCACTGCAATATGTGTTAATCTGTACGGTATAAAAGTAAATTAATATGTTTTACCTGTGTAGTAAAGTCTAAATTAATGTGTCATCTGTACAGGACAAGACTATTTTAATGTGTGTTATCTGTGCAGCACAAAACATAATGATCTGTTAACTTAATGTGCTATCTGTACAGTATAAGACTTAATTCAAGTGTTATCCGTGTAGTAAAAGCTAAACTCATGTGTGATATCTCTGCACTACAAGACTAAATATTGGTGCAGTACAAAACTAAATTAATGTGTGTTTAAATTAATATATGTGTGTATCTCTGCAATACAAGACTAAATCAATATGTGTGTGTGTATCTGCAATACAAGACTAAATCAATATGTGTGTGTATCTCTGCAATACAAGACTAAATCAATATGTGTGTGTATCTCTGCAATACAAGACTAAATCAATATGTGTGTGTATCTCTGCAATACAAGACTAAATCAATATGATATCTGTGCAGTACAAAACTAACTAAATATTTTATCTGTGCAGTACAAAACTAAATTAATTATGTGCATCTGTGCAGTACAAAGCTAAATTAATGTGTATTATCTGTGCAGTACAAGACTAAATTAATGTTACCTGTCCAAGTACAAGACGAAATTAATGTGTGTAATCTGTGCAGTACAAAAATGCATGGAGGTAAGATATTTCACTGTTAAAGCAAAAGTAAACTTTACATAAGAGAACTCTACATAAAAGAAATGTACCTAATGATTTGCTGTACTGCAAGGACTTGCCTCCCACAAGAATGGTGTCTAACGGTGGTAATTTCTCTTGAGACAAGGCAGCCTGTGGAGAGTACAAAGGATCTAGTTGGCTGTTCTTATGTGGCAATCAGATGTAACAACTCATAATAACAAGTATCCACGCACAAAAATCTACCCCCCCCCCCCCCCCCCCCCAAAGATTGCATGCACAAGCAAAAACACACACATACAGTTCTTGTGTGAGTGTTTATATATATATGGTATTTTGATATATATGTTGATATACACACACCCACACAAACTGCTCACATTATTTAACAAGAATCAAACAACTGTATAGCTGCTTACATTATCAAACATTTCAACCATTAATTACAACTACTCACCCTTAACAAGAAACAATCAAATGCATGTATAGCAGCTAATACTGAAAACACCAACTAAAACTACTCACATTTGCAACAGCAGTGTAGAAACTGCGAGCGACACCGCTTCCCTCTCCTGGCTCATCCTTGAACGTCACCTTGACCCGGTGCACACACAGGGGCGGGCCTGAGGTGTTCGTGCGCCGGTTGAAATAAGTGTTCAGTTGTTTGAAGGTGTGGGTAAGGAGGGCATTCCTATCTCTCTCAACCTGCAAGGCAAACCAGCGTCACATTTAGACACGCTAGGTATTCGCACAAGCTGGCTACACATGTATCTCACCAGCAAGTTGTCTAATGGAAGCATGCAGCTGTCGTGTCTTTGAATACACTGTTGGTTGTCATCTCAGTGATTAAGTGCTGGCTGTCAGGTCAGTGATTACACTACTGGCTGTCAGGTTAGTGATTACACTACTGTCTGTGAGGTGAGTGATTACACTACTGCTTGTCATGTTAGTGAATGCACTGCTGGCTGTGAGGTGAGTGATTACACTACTGGCTGTCATGTCAGTGATTACACTGCTGGCTGTCGGGTCACAGATTACACAGCTAGCGACTACTAACACTGGTACAATCAGGCTGTCAGACAACTGATTACTTTGGCACAATAAGCAAGTCAGACTGAATGTTAATGCACCTGTGATTCACTGTGTCTGTCTCTCTTAAGTGAGATGTTCATACACCTACGATTCTCACTGTCTCTACTCAGTGAAATGTTCATACCCCATGATTCTTCTAGTGTCTGCCTCTACCCAGTGAGATGTTTAAACACCCATGATTCTCCTAGTGTCTGTCTCTATCCAGTGAGATGTTCATACATACACCCATGATTCTTCTAATGTCTGCCTCTACCCAGTGAGATGTTCAAACACCCATGATTCTCCTAGTGTCTGTCTCTATCCAGTGAGATGTTCATACATACACCCATGATTCTTCTAATGTCTGCCTCTACCCAGTGAGATGTTCAAACACCCATGATTCTCCTAGTGTCTGTCTCTATCCAGTGAGATGTTCATACATACACCCATGATTCTACTACTGTCTGTCTCTATCCAGTGAGATGTTCATACACACCCATGATTCTTCTAATGTCTGCCTCTACCTAGTGAGAAGTTCATACAAACACCCATGATTCTCCTACTGTCTGTCTCTATCCAGTGAGATGTTCATACATACAACCATGATTCTTCTAGTGTCTGTCTCTACCCAGTGAGATGTTCATACACCCATTATTCTCCTAGTGTCTATCTCCCCCCAGTTAGATGTTCATACACCTGTGATTCTTACTGTCTGTCTCTCCCCAGTGAGATGTTCATTCACAAATTCTCTAGTGTCTGTCTCTACTGATGTCTCTCCCCTGTAGTCTAGTGAGATGTTCATACACCTATGATTCTCACTGTCTGTCTCTCCCCAGTGAGATGTTCATTCACAAACCTATGATTCTGACTATGTCTCTCCCCAGTGAGATGTTCACACACCCATGATTCTCACTGTCTGTCTCTCCCCAGTGAGATGTTTACACACCCATGATTCTCACTGTCCTCTTCCCAGTAAGATGTTTACAGACCCCATCATTCTCACTGTCTGTCTCTCCCCAGTGAGATGTTTACACACCCATGATTCTCACTGTCCTCTTCCCAGTAAGATGTTTACAGACCCCATCATTCTTACTGTCTGTCTCTTCCAAATGAGATGTTCATCCACCCGTGATCATTTTCACAATGTCTGTCTTGCCCCTGGACATTTGCTGTGAACAATTACAAGAGTGCACATTACCTCCAACGTCAGATCTCTCTGCTGGGAATTCCTCAGTTTTTCCATTTCTCGTCGAAATCGACCCTCCTTTACCGGAAAGCCCCCGAGCTCACTAATGATGGATCCTGGCTCAGCACCAACATCATCACAGAACACCCGGCCAAAAAGGTCCAGTGACAGGCGCCATCTTCCCAGCAGCATGTCGTGGGAGACAATTTGAGCCATGGCTCCCTGGTGTCTGAAACACAAGACATGGATCCAGTTCTTCTTCTGCTCTTCTATACAGGTGAGTACAGGTATAGACGAATGATAAGAATACCCTGGACAGATAACATGTGCAATGAAGATGTCTTGAAAGAAAGTGACTCACTAAGAGAACTGACTGCCCATATCAGAAGAAGACAAACTACATTCTTTGGTCATGTCATGAGAAGAAGAAAACTGAAGTACATTGTGACGGGGGGAAACCAGAGAGGCAGAGGGACACCAAGTGAAAAGATACTGGACAGTTTGACATCATGGCATGGAAGATCATCTGTAAAAGAGTTGACTGAAAGTACAACAGACAGAAGATTGTGAATAGACATGACTACCAATGCCACATGGCATGGATTTTAGGAAGAACAGGACAGGTAGAGCTTTGCCAGATCATCTGACAGGTGAATCTACTCTAGTCGGGTGGGACCTGTGTACATGACAGGTAGGTCTATACTAGCCGGGAGGATCCATATTTATACATACAAGAGGTGGTTTTATACTAGATAGGCAATGTTATGCCTGAATATGTCAGGCAGGGCTTTACCAGTCAGATGGATCTATCCCTGTAAATCTGATAGGTAGCTATATCCCTGTATATCTGATAGGTAGCTATATCCCTGTTTACCTGACAGGTAGGTCTATCCTTGTATAAATGACTGGTGGGTATATCCTTGGATACACAATAGGTGACTATAATAGTTAGGTGGATCTATCCCCATATACCTGTCGAATCCCTTAGGCCTATCCCAAATACTTGATAACAAGCATATCTAGCCTACCTGACTGCTGATGCTGGAACAGAAGCAGGTGGTGGAGGTGCTGTGGCTGCTGCAGTAGTGCCGTGAAGGGCAGAGTATGCCAGCTGCTCACTAGTCTCAATATCAACTGTGTTTGACACATTCTCATTAGCTCCAACCAGATCAATCGGGGCAGTCTCCATGTTAGAGCTGCCTGCCTCGGTGGGTCTGAAACAGCACAAGTGTTATCTATCAACCCAGGTAGATGCCTAACAGTAATCACACCTGAGAGGTCTCAACATTTATCAAGGGAAAGAAGACAGGGATAATAGGATCAAATCAAGAAAGTGATCTATTGATGAAGCTTCACTTCATGAGCTAAAATCATACAATGTTGGGGAAACACTACAGGCTACTATAAAAAGAATGCAAAAATAGAAAGTTTGAAAAAAATTAAGCCTTCAAAGTGAGCATAAATTTTTGACAGTCAAAGAAATTTTAATCTAGTCCCAAACACACAGAATATTAACTCTTGTGTCAAATCAGTTCAGTCTAACATCTCCATGGCAACACAAAGAGATACAGAATAGCTGCCAGAAAATGATCTCCTGTGTGGTGGAGAAACATTCCAGCCAAGTGCACAAGCAGGCTGTAAAGTCAATTACCTTTATGGAGCAGTGATGAAACAAATTTGACATATCTCTCCTGCTCAAGTTTACCTCATCTACACATGGACTTTGTTTTCCCCCACTAATATAGCCGAAGGTTAGGGTTGATGTGACAACAAATGAGGTAAAGGCACACATCTGGTTCTGTTGGCCAGCTTCTGAGTTGAGTCCTTGGTGCAAAACTGTGAAATGTGGATTTCATGTGCAATGCTTTTAGTCTTTGCACCCGGGGAGCAGTGTCATAAACTGCATTCTCCAAACAAATGGCGACTAGCTGGCTGCCACAGAGGTGATTATATGCCTTATGTAGTAATGCATATACCAATGCTGGTCTGTCATGACTGCTACTTCCATTCATCTAGAATTGCAATTATTGTGACATACTGTTGATGCTGGCCACCTCCGACAGCTGCCTTATGCCTTTAATGCACGTGCAAACTTTTGTCTGTCTGACTTTTTACATGGAACAGTGATAGGCATTTCATGTAGTTTTTACAGACACAGGTTCGGAACTATTATTGGGGGTAGGGAGACTCCATTTTTCCCTGAAGCTGGAACGCCGCTGATAACTGGTAACAAAGTCAAATGTGATCCTTGGCTCTCAAAATATGGAATCCATGTGACATAATGGGGCACCCAGCTGATATGGTAATGCTACTGTCTATATGTGTACTTATTGTGTGTATGAACCTGCTGTCTGCTTGCGCTTACTGTCTATATGTGTTTACCGCCTCCACGCGCTCACTGTCTGCCTTCACTTAACTGTCTTGTGTGCACTTATTGTCTGTATGGACTTAAAGTGTGTACATGCCGTCTGTTTGTACATAATATATATGTGTGTACTTACTGTCTACATCGACATACTATCGGTGTGTGCATGCCGTCAGTGTGTACTTACTGTTTGTGCACATGCTGTCTGAGGAGTGTACTTACCATCTGGGTGTAACTTACTGAGCGTACTTACTGCCTATATGTACTTACAGCAATGGGAGAGATGCCGGGCGACTGGACAATGGAGTCAATGTCACCAGTGGGACACCCGATGAGACCGTTGGTGGGGCAGACTGCTGCAACTCGGAGCCGTCCCTGACTGTATCGGTGGCGGCAGAGCTGGAGTACGGACCTGCCGGGAGTGAGTGCGCTTGCATTCCTGTGGACATAAATGTTTCCTGACTATCCTGACACAGCCAATGTATTCATCAAAATCAGTGAAACACTACCTCGCCGGCAAACACTTGCTTGGTCAGTGTTGCTTCACCTCCAGGGTGTCGCCTTAAAAAAAACCAGGGCCTACGGTCTCTACATCTGGCACCAGGCACCAAGAAAAGTGCTGGCATTTATCTGTGGCTCTGTCTCTGCTGCTCCTCTTCTACAATATTCTGAAGACCAGGTCGTTTTACTCATGCTGTACCAATAAGAATGTTGTACCAGGAAGAAGGCCAACAATATATAAGTGTTATTCATGTTGAACCAGGAAGAACACCAACACTATACAAGTCTTACTTATGTTGTACCAGGAAGAACACCAACAATATAAAGTGTTACTCATGGTGTAAACCTAATAGTCAAGAAAGCAAAGAAAAGACAGAGACTTAGAGACGCAAGAGAGTTAAGAAAGAGAACTCTACATGGAGGACAAGAAAGTAAAGAAATATACCTAAAAAGAGAAGGCTTAGAGACACAAGAGTGTAAAGAAGACTTGGAGACACAAGAGAGCAAAAAAAGAGAACACAGAAGACACAAGAGAGTCAAGAAAGAGAATTTAACAGAGAAAACTCGAAGACACAAAAGAGCCAAGAAAGAAAACTAAACACAGGTTTGGAGACAAGTGAGTCAAGAAAGAACTAAACACAGAAGACTTGCAGACACAAGAGAGACAAGAAAGAGAACTAAACACAGAAAATTTGGAGACACAAGACAGTCAAGAAAGAGAACTGAACCCAGAAGACTTGGGGACATAAGAGAGCCAAGAAAGAGAACGAAACACAGAAGATTTGGAGACAAGTGAGTCAAGAAATAGAACTGAACAGAGAAGACTTGCAGACACAAGACAGTCAAGAAAGAGAACTGAACCCAGAAGACTTGGGGACATAAGAGAGCCAAGAAAGAGAATGAAACACAGAAGATTTGGAGACAAGTGAGTCAAGAAATAGAAATGAACAGAGAAGACTTGCAGACACAAGACAGTCAAGAAAGAGAACTGAACCCAGAAGACTTGGGGACACAAGAGAGCCAAGAAGGAGAACTGAGCAGTTAAAACTTGTGAACACAAACCAACCTTGTGATGAAGATGCAGAGGAAGCAGCTGAGGGTGCCATTTGACTCTGCGACCAAGCCAGGAAAGCAAAGTGGATCTTTGGTCTCATTGGTGGCTGCGAATCATCACTATCCTCATGGCTTCTGCCGACAGTGGTGGGCCCAGACATGGAGGTGCCAGGCTGAGCAACAGCAGCTGAGGACAACTGCTGGGTCACCTGACCTGAAGCTAACTGGCTTGAAGGGGTGGATGCTGTGTGGACAATAACACTGGCCTGGGTGACATCAGGAAGATTAGACTGCAGGGGTCCCGGGGCTGGGGCCTGCTGTAAGTGAAGCTGGTAGCTGGGCAAGGAGCCGGCACTGCTCCCTAAAGCAGTGCTCAGGGTTGTGGAGACTGCTGTGGTCACAACTGTTGACAATCTCTCCCGGCTGGTGGCAATCTCGGAGAAAGCCGACAGGGCAGCCCTTGCCAGCTGACCAGGAGTTGGAGGGGCTGAAGAAGCCACGGGAGCTGAGGGGTGAGGCAGGGCGAATGTTGTAGATGAGTAGTGTGGTGCTGCTGATGAGGCGACAATTACACTGGATGAAGGTTCAGAGTAGATGATTGGTGCCACAGCTGCTTGTACAGTACCTGGTGCAGGATCCATAGGAAGAGGGATGTTCAGAGGGTTAATAACTTCCTGAGAAAAACCCGGACTGGATCCAGACAGGGTCAAGTTGACAGCGACACTCTGAGGGAACAACTCGGAGTTGGCTGAGGTGATCCGTGAAGAGGTCATGGATGTGCTGACACTTGTGCTGCTGGTCGGCCATCCTGTCCTTCCAGGGTGAGTACTGCTAGCGGGTGCTGCTGAGATTGGTTGAAATGCAGCATTTCTGAGATTCTGGGCAAGCTGAAGTCTATCATCATCAGGCCTGGTGGACAAAGCTAGGCTCAATGGCAGCTGCTGGCCCAGAGACACAGATGATCCCTCATCAGTTTTGGAAATGACAGTGGGCTTGGCCATGCCAAAGTAGTCTTCCCTGCTCCCATTTGGTTGTAAGAGATGAGGCTGGTCAGCTAGTGGCAGTGCCTCCACAAGTGGGGTATGGAAAGGGTCAGGAGGTGGACAACCCATAAAAATGGTGGAATCAGATCTTTGGAAGAAAGGATGGCGTCTGCCAAGTCGAGTAGCACTGTCACTATCTCCATCCATGCTCTCAGACTCCATGTTCAAGCCAGCTGTATTGGATGTTCCTGAGAGTTCCTCATCATGCTCCTCCTCGCCTTCTTCACCGTCCTGCCAAGAAGTGACAGACACACCATCCCTGAGGGCCTCCACATCAGAATCTGGAGCTGTACGCATGTAGTAAATGAGGGCATCGAACACGTATGCTGTATGTCTGAGAGCTGTGATGTCTATCACAGGCAGGGAGTCAGAGTGCTCATCGTGGTGACTTCTCATCAGAGACAGGGCATAGCTGAGGAAGTCCCTGCGTGCAGAATTGCCATCACTGCTTGTCGCTGAAACAACACAACAGTTATTGCTTCATTGTACATTAATAGATCATTATATACATGTACTACATGCAGAATCCACCAAGCAAATATTAATATAGCAACTTTCCCCTACCCAACTATTCTCCCTACTAGCTATGTTTCCCCCCATATTTCTCCTACCCAACTATTCTCGCTACTATGCTCTCCCAACATATGTCCCCTACCGAACCATTCTCCCTACTACTTATGTTCTCCCCCCATATTTCTCCTACCCAACTATTCTCGCTACTATGCTCTCCTAACATACATCCCCTACCGAACCATTCTTCCTACTACCTGTTCTCCCCACATATTTCTCCTACCCAACCATTCTTCCTACTACCTATGTTCTCCCCACATATTTCTCCTACCCAACCATTCTCCCTACTACATATGTTCTCCCCACATATTTCTCCTACCCAACCATTCAAGAATGTGAAATATGTTCATTCTACTTCCTGCCTCCACCCAAGACATGCCAGAAAGAGAAGCCTATACCTGGAGTGCCAAATCGGAGTCGTCTCCGGTTGTGGTCCAGAACCTGCAGTGATCTGGCCTCTTCTCTGGGGGGGCCAGCTCGCTCACGCTGGTTCCTGGTGTAGCTGGCATGAAGCGGATGTTGGGGGCAAGAGGGGTCACTGTTGTTGCTGAGTGCTGAGCCGAACCTCAGCTGGGCCTCGGTAGAGTCCATGACTGCCACCAACCACTGCCAGGTTGGGCGCAAGTTCTGCTCCAGGAACACCTAAAATATTTGACATAAAAAATAAACGATGGTGAACAAAATATTACATTCATGGCGAAGAAAATGTTATATCAACAGTAAACAAAATATTCTCTTAGATATAACAGTATATAAAATTATATTACAAATCACACCTGTAACTGAGGTATGACAGAAGACACCTGCACATTATGTTATCACATAAAAAAACACAATCTTCTTAGGTTATAAGATAAATGATCCCACACACCTGTGTTATGAGAGAAAGGAATACACCTTATAAGGGAAAAAAACAACCACAAACATCATATTTTGAAAGAAAGATTGCATGTGAATACCTATGTTTTTAAGAGTTAGAGCACACCTGTATATTTATGACAGAAATAACTACATGTATATCAATAAATTTGAGAAAAATACACATGCACATACATGCTATGAGACAAAAAAAACACAATTATACATAATATATGAGAGAAAGAACATATATACCTATGTTATAAGAGAAAGACCATATATGTATGCATATGTTAGAAGACAAGTAACACATGTGTTTATATGTTATGAGAAGAAGAACACACATGTATACGCATGCTATAAAAGAAAATACACGTATATATACATATGAGATGAGAGAAAGTATGCATATTAATATCAGTTTTAAGAGAAAGAACACATATGAATGCCAATGTTGTGAGAGAAATAACACATATGTATACCCATGTTTTGAGAGAAAGAATGCACACGTATACCCATGCTATGAAAGAACATACATGTATGTATACCCATGTCATGAGAAAAATAACATAAATGTATACCCATATTATGAGAGAAAAGTACATTTGAATACCCATGTTGTAACAGAAAGAACACATATGAATGCCCATGTTGTGAGAGAAAGAACACACCTGAATATTCTGCTCTTCCTGGTGGGTGACCTCCAAGACCCTGGGCAAAATGGGGGTCAGGGCGTGGTAGTAAGGTAAAATATTCAGCAGGTCTGTGATCTGTCCTCACCATGATGCCAAATGCTCTAGCCAGCTGGCTGGCAGTGGTTGCCATGGTCACTGGGCTGTCCTGATTGGTGACAGTGGGTGCGGCCACTGACACGGAGCGGCGGAGAGTAGAAGGGTCGATGTAGATTAAACTGGTACCACCTAAAAGAGCAGAGGTCAAAGGAAACAATAACAGGTTATAATGGCTGACATGAGAATTCTAAAACTTCACAAATGCACAAGGACTCACATGGTATCAAGCCCATCAATGCACACTAGCACTTCCATCAAACACAAGTATACAGGCACTCCACATACAAAAATACAGGCACTCCACATACAAATAAACAGGCACTCCACATACAAACATACAGGCACTCCACATACAAAAATACAGGCACTCCGCATACAAAAATACAGGCACTCCGCATACAAAAATACAGGCACACCACTTACAAAAAAATACAGGCACCCCACATACAAAAAAACAGGCACTCCACATTCAAATAAACAGGCACTTGAGTTCTAGTTGTTCTCCACTTTTGGACTTTGGCCTTGTTCCAGGTTGAGTTTTGCACACACATCCAATTTATATATGTAACATTTTCTTTCTGTTTTGCATTTGACATCAGCCAACAGCCCTGTCTGGGTCATAAACTGGACTGCTGGTCTGAAGTTGGAGCTTGTTCCCCCCCCCCCCCCCCCCCCAACCCCCCCCCCCCCCACAACCTGTAATGTGCCTCTAATGGTTTAGAGCAATCTTGCAGTATATGCTCAGGAGTATGTCTGCTCTCAGCAATCACAGGCTACAGATTCTGTTATGCCTAACCTGTGTGGGCGCCTTCTAGGACGGCAGTTCTGAGCATGAAGTTCTGTTCCTGTTTGTTTACACTGTCAATCTCCCTTCTGCAGTCTCCCTTCTGCCCTCTCAACCCCCCCTTGAATGACTGCTTTAGGGCTGTTTTTGGTTATGCTATGTTAATGACACAAGCAGACAGTTTCACCAAGACAGCATGTCACTTACCTGCTGTACTAGTGGTGGTGGTGGTAGTTGGTGGTCTCGTGGTGGTGACTGTGGCCACCGGCTCTCTCTGTCTGATGGCCCACTGCATGGTTTGTGGGGCCTGCAGTGTTCGCTGACCTTGGGCCCCTGTCCCTGCAGTCGTAGGTCTCTCCAGCTGCTCGTCCAGGTAGATGAATTCATCTGTGTCTCTTTCCTCACTCTCTCCAGCTTCGCTCTCATAATCCTCCTCCTGGTTGGAGGAATCGCCCGAGTCTTCAGAGAAATGAGCCAGACTTCCCAAACCTGTTATCAATGTAAAACAGAGTAGGAGTGAAACATAAACCAGACTTTTCAAACCCCTTAATGTAAAAACAGAGTAGAAGTGAGACATAGAATAGACTTCCTGAACCTGTTATCAACGTAAAAGTAGAAGTGAGACATAAAACCATACTTTTCAAACCTATCAATGTAAAACAGAGTAGAAATTAGACACAAACCAGGCTTCTCAAAACTATTATCAATGTAAAGCAGAGCAGAAGTGAGACCCAAACTAGACTTCCTGTACTTGTTATCGGTGTAAAACACTACACTTTCTATATTAAACTGCAGAAGCGAGACGAGTCAGAACCTCTTACCTCAAATAATTGTAAAACAAAGAAAAAATGTTTGTGTATGTCTTTCTATGTCTCATTCAGCAAAATAAATTTACAAATAAATCTACTGTGATATCACCAGCATTAACTTTGCATTTCTAACAGAAAAAGGGTAAGGAAAATTTATAAGGGACCAGTCAGGGAACTTGACTACACAACTCATTCCTAAGGAAAGAGTCAGGGGAACTTTCCTACACAACTTCTCATTTCTAAGGAAAGAGTCAGGGGAACTTTCCTACACAACTTCACATTTCACAACAATGAGCTCTTAAACTAATGACAAGTCAGCTAGTCTGGATTCCCTGCTCCTCACCAGTGACTGCCCTACATAACACAGCAAGGGTTCCCAAACAAGATCATGGCAAGACAAGCTGCTCCTCACCAGTGACTGCCCTACATAACACAGCAAGGGTTCCCAAACAAGATCATGGCAAGACAAGCTGCTCCTCACCAGTGACTGCCCTACATAACACAGCAAGGGTTCCCAAACAAGATCATGGCAAGACAGCTGCTCCTCACCAGCTGCCCTCCATCACAGCAGTGTTCCCAAACAAGATCATGGCAAGCAAGGGTCCTCACCAACTGCCCTACAAACACAGCATGGGTTCAAAGACAAGACTGCTCTCTCACCAGTGACTGCCCTACATAACACAGCAAGGGTTCCCAAACAAGATCATGGCAAGACAAGCTGCTCCTCACCAGTGACTGCCCTACATAACACAGCAAGGGTTCCCAAACAAGATCATGGCAAGACAAGCTGCTCCTCACCAGTGACTGCCCTACATAACACAGCAAGGGTTCCTAAACAAGATTATGGCAAGACATGCTGCTCCTCACCAGTGACTACCCTACATAACACAGCAAGGGTTCCCAAACAAGATCATGGCAAGACAAGCTGCTCCTCACCAGTGACTGCCCTACATAACACAGCAAGGGTTCCTAAACAAGATCATGGCAAGACAAGCTGCTCCTCACCAGTGACTGCCCTACATAACACAGCAAGGGTTCCCAAACAAGATCATGGCAAGACAAGCTGCTCCTCACCAGTGACTGCCCTACATAACACAGCAAGGGTTCCCAAACAAGATCATGGCAAGACAAGCTGCTCCTCACCAGTGACTGCCCTACATAACACAGCAAGGGTTCCCAAACAAGATCATGGCAAGACATGCTGCTCCTCACCAGTGACTGCCCTACATAACACAGCAAGGGTTCCTAAACAAGATCATGGCAAGACATGCTGCTCCTCACCAGTGACTGCCCTACATAACACAGCAAGGGTTCCTAAACAAGATCATGGCAAGACATGCTGCTCCTCACCAGTGACTGCCCTACATAACACAGCAAGGGTTCCTAAACAAGATCATGGCAAGACATGCTGCTCCTCACCAGTGACTGCCCTACATAACACAGCAAGGGTTCCTAAACAAGATCATGGCAAGACATGCTGCTCCTCACCAGTGACTGCCCTACATAACACAGCAAGGGTTCCTAAACAAGATCATGGCAAGACATGCTGCTCCTCACCAGTGACTGCCCTACATAACACAGCAAGGGTTCCCAAACAAGATCATGGCAAACAAGACAAAGCTGCTCCTCACCAGTGACTGCCCTACATAACACAGCAAGGGTTCCCAAACAAGATCATGGCAAGACAAGCTGCTCCTCACCAGTGACTGCCCTACATAACACAGCAAGGGTTCCCAAACAAGATCATGGCAAGACAAGCTGCTCCTCACCAGTGACTGCCCTACATAACACAGCAAGGGTTCCCAAACAAGATCATGGCAAGACATGCTGCTCCTCACCAGTGACTGCCCTACATAACACAGCAAGGGTTCCTAAACAAGATCAAAGACAAGCTGCTCCTCACCAGTGACTGCCCTACATAACACAGCAAGGGTTCCCAAACAAGATCATGGCAAGACAAGCTGCTCCTCACCAGTGACTGCCCTACATAACACAGCAAGGGTTCCTAAACAAGATCATGGCAAGACAAGCTGCTCCTCACCAGTGACTGCCCTACATAACACAGCAAGGGTTCCCAAACAAGATCATGGCAAGACAAGCTGCTCCTCACCAGTGACTACCCTACATAACACAGCAAGGGTTCCCAAACAAGATCATGGCAAGACAAGCTGCTCCTCACCAGTGACTGCCCTACATAACACAGCAAGGGTTCCCAAACAAGATCATGGCAAGACAAGCTGCTCCTCACCTGCATCAGAGCCTGCTGTAGCCATGGTAACGGCTGACCTCTGGACACTGACGTTGTCCTGGTTACTGTGACTACTCTCGCTGTCGCTGTCGGACTCCTCCGTCAGCATTACCAGGCTCATGTCACTCTCGGCGGGGCCTGAAAATCCATTGTAAAAATTATAAGACCCTGAAAACAGAAAAAGGTCTTCAGTTTTGACTGTCTTAACCACACTGTAAAGCTGTCAGTGATTGATGAATTGTACCGTCAATGTCAATGACTCATGAGCTGTACCGACAATAGCTGTACAAGATGAGCTGTACCAATGTCTGCGACTGGTGGAGATGTACCAACAATGTCTGTGAATCATGGAAGATGAGTTGTATCGAACAATGGCTGTGAATTACTGTGGACGAGCAGTGTCAAAAATATGTCTGTGAATGATGAACTGTGAAAGATGGAGAAGGAGATAACAATGTGAATGAGCAGGATTAAATGTATCAAACAATGGCTGTGAATTATGGAGGGCGAGTGGTGCTAAACATATGTCTGTGAATGGTGAACTGTGAAAGATGAAGGACAAGCTATAACAAACAATGTGAATGAGCAGGATGAGTCATATCAAACAGTATCTGCAAATGATAAGCCATGTCTGTGAATGATTAACTGCCAAAGGCAGAGGGTGGATTATAAAAATGATGCAGGAACTGTTGTATCAAACAACATTATCAAGGCAATCTATTTCGAGCAAAGGGAAGAGGACAAAAAAAAAAGTATCAAACAACAGCAATAAATGATAAGCAACATGATGAGATGTACCAACAATATTTGAGAATTATAAATTATGCCAGCAATATCCGTGAATGAGCTGTACCAACTAAATATGTGAATGATAGAAGCAAAGCTGTACTAATGATGGTAATGAATGTTGAGCTGTACCAAAAATATAAATGAGATAATGAAGAAAAACTAAAAATGCTATTATTGAACGTGAAGAGAAAGTCATGCAAACTTATTTATACCTATACAATATTTATTTATCTCTAAAGTATGTCTATAAATAATATAATCATCTATAAAGCATACCTACAATAGTAACCTATAATGAATTATGCTTATAGATCAGTTACCTATTTATAAAGTATATCTATACATCAAAGTTATCTCTTAAGTATTTCTATATATCACACAGACGTCTATAAAACATTCCCCTACAACAAACCATTATAAAGCACAGTTTTCATCAATAAAGTTTTTTTATATATTACAAATTTACCTACTCATAAAGGACGTCGATGCATTCTATATACTCCTGTTGCGCGCTGATTTGGGTAAAGTGTAATACTGTGTGAAGGGACAGTGGTATGAGAGTACTTCTGTGAATTCATGGGAAATTATCAACATTGGCTCGATGTTGACCAGTGAGAAGGGTAGTGCCACGAGAAAGTGGACGTGTGGGTTACAGTGTGGGGGCTGAAAGCATGGCTAACGAGATAAACAGAGAAAGTGTGAATTACGTGACAGCGTGATTCTCAGGTAACATTAGCCACCGACATAAGCGTGATCCTCGAGAACGCACACATGAGCGTGAGTCTCGAGAACACCCACAGGAGCATGATTCACGAGAACGCCCATACGAGCGTGCCTCTCGTGTGAACATCAACCACCTACACGGATTTGAGGGGGATAAATTGGGGGCTGAGAAGTCAGTCCGGGGCAGTCGAAAGAGAAGAGAGAGAGAGCGAGCGAGAGAGTCAGAGACCAAGCCAGGGTCCGTGATTATCTCTCGAGTTTAACAGACAAGAATACTGTACGACTATCAGGCATTAAAGTCCGAGTAAGTGTTGAGGTTGCGGTACTGGTCGAAGGTATGGTCCCGTTGGCGAAGTAAGACCAGGGGGACGGGATGCTCCAATAGTACCTGTTCTGGGTGGTGACGTAGTAAAACGTAGGAGGACCACTAGTGAAACAGAACAGGGGGGTGATGCCGACGAGAGCTGTGTGCTAGAGGGGACTTATGGTAGAAGTCCTGTCGGTCATCGGAGCCCTTCAACAAGCTGGCAGCAGGTGTGTGTTTTTGGAGTACGGCAAGGGAAGTCCGTCTCCAGTTAGCCGTGTTGTCTGCTGAAATAATATCAAGGTCCAGTGAATGGGAGAATTCGTCCTGTTCAGCTGTACGGCACGTCCAGAGTGTGGGACTCTGTAGTCCTTGAAGCTGTAGTGGTCAAGGAGAGGTCGCTTCAAATTGAGCGAGAGAGCAAGAGAGGACAAATGGACTATGTGCGAATGTCAACTGTGATCAATAACTACGTCTCTGCAGTTGTGTCATGTATCCTGTTGAAAAAAATGTATGACAGTGTCATTGTCGTCGAGTTCTGTTTCTAAGAGAGGAAGCGGAAGGGTACCTGCTAGACACTTGGTAGTGTGCTGGCTAGTGGTAGCTCATTTAGCACACAACTCCGTCTGTCCAGATGATAGTGTTATACTGTTAGTCTATGAGGAGACATGGAACTCACAGCCCATGGCGATGGCGAGTGTGACTAGAAAGATCTGTCCGTCCAACACGGCACATAATTTACAGCAACAGACTGTCAACACAGTACTCACAAAATACATGGTTTACATCAACAGACTGTCAACACAATACTCACACAGGATATGGTTTACATCAACAGACTGTCAACACAATACTCACACAGCACATGGTTTACAAAACAGACTGTCAACACAATACTCACACAGGATATGGTTTACAGCAACAGACTGCCAATACAATACTCACACAGCACATGGTTTACAGTAACAGACTGTCAACACAATACTCAAACAGCACATGGTTTACAGCAACAGACTGTCAACACAATACTCACACAGCACGTGGTTTACAGCAACAGACTGTCATCACAATACTCACACAGCACATGGTTTACAGCAACAGACTGTCAACACAATACTCACACAGCACATGGTTTACAGCAACAGACTGTCAACACAATACTCACACAGCACGTAGTTTACAGCAACAGACTATGTCAACACAGCACATGGTTTACAGCAACAGACTATGTCAACACAGCACATGGTTTACATCAACAGACTATGTCAACACAGCCCATGGTTTACATCAACAGACTATGTCAACACAGCCCATGGTTTACATCAACAGACTATGTCAACACAGCCCACGGTTTACATCAACAGACTATGTCAACACAGCCCATGGTTTACATCAACAGACTATGTCAACACAGCGCATAGTTTACATCAACAGACTATGTCAACACAGCACATGGTTTACATCAACAGACTATTTCAACACAGCACAAGGTTTACATCAACAGACTATGTCAACACAGCACATAGTGTACATCAACAGACTATGTCAACACAGCACATGGTTTACATCAATAGACTGTCAACACAGCACATGGTTTACATCTATAGACTATGTCCACAAAGTACTCACCATCTTCTGGGTCAGGAGGGGGTTGTTCTGGGTCATGATCCAGGTCTCGGTCAGAGTGCTCTGACTGTCGGTCATCTCTGTCCTCCCTGTCACTGTGGTCATCATCCACCTGCATACTCTCAGCTACTTCCACCTGGGCAACAGACAAAACATGGTCACACCGAGCTAATGGAATCTAAGCTACAGACAGAACATGGTCACACCGAGCTAAGGGAATCTAGGCTACAGACAGAACATGGTCACACCGAGCTAAGGGAATCTAAGCTACAGACAGAACAGGGTCACAGAGTTAGGGGAATCTAGGCTACAGACAGAACATGGTCACACCGAGCTAACGGGTCACACCGAGCTAACGGAATCTAGGCTACAGACAGAACATGGTCACACCGAGCTAAGGAAATCTAAGCTACAGACAGAACAGGGTCACACAGTTAGGGGAATCTAGGCTACAGACAGAACATGGTCACACCGAGCTAAGGGAATCTAGACTACAGACAGAACATGGTCACACCAAGCTAAGGGAATCTAGGCTACAGACAGAATATGGTCACACTGAGCTAAGGGAATCTAGACTACAGACAGAACATGGTCACACCGAGCTTATGGAATCTAGGCAACAGACAGAACATGGTCACACCGAGCTTAATGGAATCTAGGCTACAGACAGAACATGGTCACACCAAGGAATCTAGGCTAGGAACATGGTCAATCTAAGCTAGGGCTACAGTAAGTGAAAACAAAGCAGCTGACAGAATATAGTAACACTGAGTTAAGTGAAACTAGGGAACAGAACATGGTCACACAGAGATAAGTGACGCATGGGAACAGAATATGGTCATACAAGCTAAGTGATGCCAGGGAATAGAATATGGTCACACAAAGCTAAGTGAAGCCAGGAAACAGAAACCAGATAACAGAAGTGACGCTTGTTAACAGAATATGGTCGAACACAACAAAGTGACGCCAGGGAACAGAATATGGTCACACAAGCTAAGTGATGCCAGGGAACAGAATATGGTCACACACAGCTAAGTGACACCAGGCAACAGAATAAGGTCACATAAACTTAGTGACGCCAGGGAACAATATGGTCACACAGAGCTAAGCGACGCTAGGGAGAAGAATATTGTCACACAGAACTGAGTGACGCTAGGAAACAGAGTATGGTCACACAGAGCTAAGTGACACTAGGGAACAGAATATGGTGATACAGAGCTAAGTGACGCTAGGGAACAGAATATGGTCACACAAGCTAAGTGAGGCTAGGGAACAAAATATGGTCACACAGTTAAGTGACGCTAGGGAACAGAATATGGTCACACAGAGCTAAATAACACTAGGGAACAGAATATGGTCACACAGAGCTAAGTGACATTACGGAACAGACAGAATATAGTCACATAAAGCTAAGTAAAGCTAGGAAACAGAATATGGTCACACAAGCTAAGTGACGCTAGGGAAAGGAATATGGTCACACAAAGCTAAATGACTCTAGGGAACAGAATATGGTCAAACAGTGCTAAATGACGCTAAGGAACAGAATATGGTCACACAGAGCTAAGCCATGCTAGGGAACAAAATATTGTCACACAAACTAAGTGATGCTAGGGAACGGAATATGGTCACACAAAGCTAAGTGACGCTAGGGAACAGAATATGGTCAAACAGTGCTAATTGACGCTAAGAAACAGAATATGGTCACACAGAGCTAAGCCACGCTAGGAAACAGAATATTGTCACACAAACTAAGTGATGCTAGGGAACAGAATATGGTCACACAGAGCTACGTGATGATAGGGAGCAGAATATGGTCACACAGAGCTACGTGATGATAGGGAGCAGAATATGGTCACAGAGCTAAGTGACACTAGGGAACAGAATATGGTCACACAAGCTAAGTGACACAAGGGAACAGAATATGGTCACACAAGCGAACAGAATATGGTCACACAAGCTAAGTGACACAAGGGAACAGAATATGGTTACACAACTAAGTGACGCAAGGGAACAGAATACAGTCACATAGTGCTAAGTGACGCTAAGGAACAGAATATGGCCACACAAGCAAAGTGACACTAAGGAACAGAATAGTCACACAGAGCTAAGTGAAACAAAAATACCAGTTTCGTACTTCTTCAATATCTACAGGCATTCTTTCATCATCAGCTGGTTGCTGAGATGTAGCCTGAGACCTGTGCCTGGGTGAGCGGTGAGTCACAATGGGCATTCTCTGGGCAGTTGTGTCCGCAGATGATGGCCGAGGTGGCAGAGGGTCCAAAACAAACAACTCTTCACTTCCCTGGAAGAAATGTGATCAAACTGAGGTCAGCCAACACTAATAGAACATCTGATATACTGGTATCTACATCTGCTACATACTGTTTATGTTCTTCTTGTCTGTACTTCTTTATCTTCGCATTCACCTGATGAAAGCTCTGGCAGAAAGTTCTGGTTGTTCATCCACTTCTGGACCATAATCTTGTTCCAGACCTTGAGTTGAGTGTGTTCAATCATTTTACAGATCTGACTTATCTATAATGTATGCAGACTGTTGGTTCCTTGCCTTTCAGGCAGAAGCACTCTGATTTCAAAGGAAAAATCCCTAATTAGTAAACTTTCACAATATGCTTTCAAGGAAGACAGTAGTGGGTCAATTCTTTTCTCTCTGAAATGGGGCTCAGGAAACAACACAGGGACTGGTCTGTACACAGAATTATATTGCTTACTTACCTACATTACATCACTACCTATACTAGCATTATCACCTCCATTACCTTTTACTAGCTACATAACCTGCCCTACCTCCAGATGCTTGTAGTCTAGCCAAAGGGACTTAAGTTTAAATCGGCACCGATGTGGATTTATTCAAACAAACATGGGGCTGGCATCACACAAAAATAGAGACCCGTGAATGGAAATGGCCTATTATACACCTACATTTTCTTATTCTTCATTGAAGGTTGAATGCTGAATTAAGAATCGACATCATAGCACTCAGGTCACTCCCATATGCACTCCATCCCCATATCTTCAGCAGCAAACAAAGAAGAGTTCCAATTCCGATGGCAGGAGTAACTGTTTGATTGTATCTTCGCCTCACCTTTCCCATGAGTGTTTGAGCATTGGCCGGATCCCCTGGCAACTCTTCACGGGGCCATTCTCCTTAAACCATAATGATCTGTTTGCACTTCCTCACTGTTCACTCAATCACTCAAGAGCTATTCTTCCTTTCTTCATTTTATGATTACCAATAACACCCCCACTTACCTCTATACCTAGATAATCACTTTTAACAACTTACCTTGGTTATTCTTACCTAAGTTATCCTTTACATATAAATGACAAAATGTATCATTTACTTATCAACTTACCTGTATTATCCTCAACATACCAGTCGACTATTTTATTCTCTTTTTCTACAAAACTATACTTTACTTACTACATTATCCATTACTTACTACTTAACTATATTAACTGTTATTTACTACTTACCTATATTAACTATATTACACTTTACTATTAATTTATATTATTTATTATTTACAACTCAACTATCTTACTCTTTACTTACTATTTATCTATATTAGCCTTAACTTGACTGCTGAACTAAATTAAACTTTACTTACAACTTACTTAACTTACTGCTTAAGTACACTTTCATTTATTTACTAATTACACATATTATTATCATTAACTATGTATTATACTAACTTTTAATGTTATTACTTGCCTATAGTAGCCCTTGACTTACTACTGATTATATACTACCATAGGTATAAAATATATACAGCTACTTTACCTGTACAGCATCGGAGTTGATGCTGACCAGAGCAAAGGGAGCTGTGGGCCTGGCGACTCCCATGCGAACGGGGACAATCAAGGCATTAGCCATGTGGCACAGCTCTTCTATAGCTATAGTAATCAGCGCCTGGAAAACCCGCTTGCACTTCATCAATGGCTGGCAGGGTGGGGCGTGGAGGCTGCAGAAAGTAGGTACAAGACAAAGTGACTTGCTGTATTCTCCCACTCAGTTATCAATGTTCTATATTTCTGTTGCTACTGTGTCTTGAAAGGCATATATGCTGATGTTAGCTAGTTAGCTGTGTATCTTTTACAAGACATTGCAGAACCAGCGTTTTTTAGCTGTTGTGGTTTTTCCAGACAAATTTTACGTTCAGTAGTTTGCCACTGATTTCTCAAAGGTCAGATTTTTGTACCGGTATCGAAACCAACACAAGACAAACCATCTGCAGCTGGGATGAAACCTGGCACCCCGACACTGCGAAGTGCATTTGCAATGCCTAAGCCTGAGACGCCGACAGCTAATGGCTGTATCTAAAATGTTGCATTTAAACCTTTGACTATGCTAGAATGGTGGAGAGTGAAAATCCTTTTTTTTTTTCAGGGTAAAATGACATGCTGATACCAGGATATCATTGGGAAAAACCTTATGTCTCAAAGGTCACAAGGACTTCAAATGTTTACTACCCTCACACAACAGACTGCCCAAGTCTACCCCCATACAATAGACTGGCCCAAGTCTAACCTCACACAACAGACTGATCTAAGTATAATCTCATGTAACAGACTGATCTAAGTCTACCCTCACAAGATAGGCTGCCCTAGACTTACCTACACATAACAGATAACTTAGATCTACCCTTATACAACTTGTTGACCCTTACACAACTGGTTGATCCACAAGCAATTGGTTGACCTAAACACAACAGATTCAATCCCGCACAATAGGTTAACTTACGCACAACAGATTAATCTATACATAAAAGGTAAATCCCCATACAACAGACTGCCTGCCCATACAACAGGATGACCCCCTCCCCCTTCTACCACAATAGGACCCACACAACACCGATTAACAACACGCAACAGGTCAACCCACACACAACAGGTCAGCCCACACAACAGGTAAATCCACACAACAGGTAAATCCACACAACAGGTTAACCCACACATGTAAGGTCAATCCTTACAAAAAACAGATTAAACCCTACACAACAAAATTACCCCCACTCAATAGGTCAGCCCACACATAACAGATCAATCCACACGCAACAGATCAGCCCATACACAACAGGTCAATCGGCAAACAACAAGTCAACCAACACACACAAGTTAACCAACACACACAAGTTAACCACCAAACAAAAGGTAAACCGCCACACAAGTTAATCTCAACATGACAGGTCAAACCACACACACACACACACACACACACACCAGATAAACCGCTACAAAACAGGTTGACACCCATATAACAGGCCGACTCCCAGACACACACACACACACAGAGACACACACCAGATTAACCGCTACAAAACAGGTTGACACCCATATAACAGGCCGACTCCCAGACACACAACAGATTAACCGCTACAAAACAGGTTGACACCCATATAACAGGCCGACTCCCAGACAGACAGACAGACAGACAGACAGGCAGGCAGGCAGGCAGGCAGGCAGGCAGGCAGGCAGGCAGGCAGGCAGGCAGGCAGGCAGGCAGGCAGGCAGGCAGGCTACAAAACAGGTTGACACCCATATAATAGGCCGACTCCCAGACACACACACACACATTAGTTGGCAAACACACAAAGGCTGACCCAGACTGACTAGTGCATGAAAATGTATAACAAACGTGTGCTACAACATCTAGCCTCCCCTCATCTAAGGAAAAACTGAGACATAAAGTACAAGCCAAATTCTCATTTACCTGCGTTTCTTGCTGGAGGCTGGTAGCATGCCAATGTTGAGCACAACAAACACCCGCGCCACAGAGCGAACAAACCTGCGGGTCACTCGCCGAGCCTCGTCTCTTCGAGCTGGCAGGCTCTCGCTCTGCATCTCACGAATCAGGGTGGTCAGTAGAGTGTCCAACATCTGCACATAGGTGAGTGTGGAAATAAGGTACTGGCTGAACTCAATATCACTATGGGTATATCATACAGGTTCCACTCGGTGTTACTATAAACATAATGTACAGGCTGAAAACAATGCTAAAGTGAAAAATGTACAGGTTGAACTCAATGTTACTGTGAACATAATATACAGGGTAAACTCAAGGTGATTGTAGACATATTGTGCAAGCTTGACTCTTAATAGAAACAAAAAGATTGATTGGGTGACTGATGGGTTACATACTATCATAGTGATTTTGTAGAAACTTTCCTGGTACTGCAGGACTAGCTACCCAGGGACTACAGGCAACTAGTCAATATCTTACACACTGACTACAGGTAACTAGTGCACACCTCACCCAATGACTACAGGTAACTAGTCTAATGTTCACCCCATGACTACCATGTAACTAGTCTAATTCTCACCTCATGACTATAAGCAACTGGTCTAATGCTCACCCCATGACTACAGGTAACTAGTCTAAACCTCACTCCATGACTACATGTAACTTTTCTAATGCTCACACCATGACTACAGGTAATTAGTCTAATGCTCACTCCATGACTACAGGTAACTAGTCCTAATGCTCACCACATGACTACAGGTAACTAATGCTCACCCCATAACTACAGCTAACTAGTCTACCTCTCACACAATGACTACAGCTAACTAGTCTACCTCTCACACAATGACTACAGCTAACTAGTCTACCTCTCACACAATGACTACAGCTAACTAGTCTACCTCTCACACCATGACTACAGCTAACTAGTCTACCTCTCACACAATGACTACAGCTAACTAGTCTGATGCTCACCCCATCAATACCATGTAAGTAGTCCTAATGCTCACCCCATAACTACAGCTAACTAGTCTACCTCTCACACAATGACTACAGCTAACTAGTCTACCTCTCACACCATGACTACAGCTAACTAGTCTACCTCTCACACAATGACTACAGCTAACTAGTCTACCTCTCACACCATGACTACAGCTAACTAGTCTACCTCTCACACAATGACTACAGCTAATTAATCTGATGCTCACCCCATCAATACCATGTAAGTAGTCCTAATGCTCACCCCATGACTACAGGTAACTAGTCCTAATGCTCACCACATGACTACAGGTAACTAATGCTCACCCCATGACTACAGCTAACTAGTCTACCTCTCACACCATGACTACAGCTAACTAGTCTACCTCTCACACAATGACTACAGCTAACTAGTCTGATGCTCACCCCATCAATACCATGTAAATAGTCCTAATGCTCACCCCATGACTACAGGTAACTAATCTAATGCACACCCCTTGACTACAGCTAACTAGTCTACTTCACATACCATGACTAAAGGTACCTAGCCTACATCTCACCCCATGATTATAGGCAACTAACTAGTCTAATTTTCACCCCATGACTACAGGTAACTAATCTAATGTTCCCACAATGAAAACAGGTAACTAGTCAAATGCTTACCCCGTGACTACAGGTAGCTAGTAAAATGCTTACCCCATGACTACAGGTAACTAGTCAAATGCTCACCCCATGACTACAGCTAACTAGTCTACCTCTCACACAATGACTACAGCTAACTAGTCTGATGCTCACCCCATCAATACCATGTAAATAGTCCTAATGCTCACCCCATGACTACAGGTAACTAATCTAATGCACACCCCTTGACTACAGCTAACTAGTCTACTTCACATACCATGACTAAAGGTACCTAGCCTACATCTCACCCCATGATTATAGGCAACTAACTAGTCTAATTTTCACCCCATGACTACAGGTAACTAATCTAATGTTCCCACAATGAAAACAGGTAACTAGTCAAATGCTTACCCCGTGACTACAGGTAGCTAGTAAAATGCTTACCCCATGACTACAGGTAACTAGTCAAATGCTCACCCCATGACTACAGGTAACTAGTCAAATGCTTACCCCATGACTACAGGTAACTAGTCAAATGCTTACCCCATGACTACGGGTATCTAGTCAAATGCTCATCCCATGACTACAGGTAACTAGTCAAATGCTTACCCCATGACTACAGGTAACCAGTCAAATGCTTACCCTATGACTACAGGTAACTAGTCAAATGCTTACCCCATGACTACAGGTAACTAGTCTAATGCTGACCCTATTACAACAGGTAACTGGTCTAAACCACTGACCGAACTCCATGACTACAGATAACTAGTCTAAGCCTCAATTCCTAACTACAGGAATCTGTCTACTCTACACCTAATCAACTGGATAACTACATGACTATAGGTAGCAATCAGTGTAAAGCAAAGATTACAGGTAACTAAATCTCATATCATGACTACTGGTTATACACCTTACCTCAAGATTAAAAGTTAGTTAACTAGCCTGTACCTTACCTCATGATTACATGTAACTAGTCTCTACCTTATCAATTTGCTAGTCTAAACCTAACCTCAGAGCTACAGGTAATAATTAGTACACAGTCATGACCACAGGTAACTCATCTCCTGACTAAAGATCACTAATTAAACCTCACCTCATGACTACAGGTAATTAGTCCAGACCTCAAGTAACTACATCTTACAAACACTATTCTACACTTTACCTCCTGTCAACAGGTAAGCACTAGTGAACAGTCTTGCCTACAGGTCTACACCTCACCTCATTACTACAGGTAATTAGTCCACACCTCAGGTAACTACCTTACAAACACTACTCTACACTTTACCTCCTGTCAACAAGTAAGAACTAGTGAACAGTCACGCCTACAGGTCTACACCTCACCTCATTACTACAGGTAATTAGTCCACACCTCAGGTAACTACCTTACAAACACTATTCTACACTTTACCTCCTGTCAACAAGTAAGAACTAGTGAACAGTCATGCCTACAGGTCTACACCTCACCTCATTACTACACTTGACCAGCAGGCAGTGGGTGAACTTGTCAAGTCGGGCTGTGCCGCTCTGACTCTCTAGGTAAATCTGCTCCTCGTAAACCACATCAGGGCCCCTGTTAGAAGGACTGCAGTTTCTTAAAACAACAACAAAGAGAATCAAGCCGATGTAAAATGATATTAAGACACAGACCATCCCAAAACAGCTTGCTCACAACAGGATGACTGAGATTCAAGTTGATGTTGGCTGGTATCAACATACACTTCCATAAACTACCATCATCCCAGACAAACAGCCTGCACACAATAACAAACATCAAAATAACTTTTTCTTAACATCTAATATAAAAATCTCTTCCGCTAGTATCACAAACATACTCTTTCAATATCTAAAAAGCTAGTTACCTTATATCTACACACACACACATTTCTCTTAGCATCTACAAATCCTCTACCTCTCTACCCACCCACCCACCCACCCACACACACACACACACACTCTCTCTCTCTCTCTCTCTCTCTCTCTCTCTCTCTTTCTCTCTCTTTCTCTAAATATTTAAAATTAAATTTACATGCTGTCTGCACATTCTCAATATCTGCAATCCTCTTCCTCTCTACCTACACATACACACTCTTTCAATATCTAAAAATCAACTAACCCTCTACCTACACACTCTCTCTCTCTTAGTATCTACAAATCTATATATCTTCTGCTTACGTGCGCGCACCCACTTACCCATCTAAACCCATTAAACCTGTGTATACAGGTGTATTTATCCATTTTTACACACTTACCCATCTAAACCCATCTAAACCTGTGTATACAGGTGTATTTATCCAAGTTTTACACACTTACCCATCTAAACCTGTGTATACAGGTGTATTTATCCAAGTTTTACACACTTACCCATCTAAACCCATTAAACCTGTGTATACAGGTGTATTTATCCAAGTTTTACACACTTACCCATCTAAACCTGTGTATACAGGTGTATTTATCCAGGTTTTACACACTTACCCATCTAAACCCATTAAACCTGTGTATACAGGTGTATTTATCCAGGTTTTATAGACTTACCCATTTAAACCCATTAAACCTGTGTATACAGGTGTATTTATCCAAGTTTTACACACTTACCCATCTAAACCTGTGTATACAGGTGTATTTATCCAAGTTTTACACACTTACCCATCTAAACCCATTAAACCTGTGTATACAGGTGTATTTATCCAAGTTTTACACACTTACCCATCTAAACCCATTAAACCTGTGTATACAGGTGTATTTATCCAGGTTTTACACACTTACCCATCTAAACCCATTAAACCTGTGTATAAAGGTGTATTTATCCAATCTAAAATCCACTCTCCCTGTGCATAAAGCACATTTAGCAGCTGCAGGGAAATTAAATTATATGATAGAATCACTAATGCTGAGCTTTGAGAGGGAACTTAACAAGTTCCACTGGACCAAGGGATGAAGAAAAGATGCTGGCATTGGATAGGAACCCTCAATGGCACAGAAATAATGGCTGACCAAAAAATAAAATGGAAAAGGGAGCTAGAGAGTTGAGTTAAAAAGATGGAGAGGACATGGGGTGAGCTGCATACAATAGTTAGGGATAAAATGACTTACCTGGTAGGAGCTGGTTGAGGGTTTGTGCACTATGGTGGGGTGGGGGTGTGAAGAAGGAAGGGGGAAAAAAAATAAGTAGTAGTAGTAGTAGTCTAATTACCCACTCAAAACAAATTAACCCTGCATCCATATATCCATCAAAACCCATTTACCCCCATTGACAAGTGCACAGTTCTACCCATTCGCCCCGCATGCACATGTGCACTGATCCAGTTCTACAAACCCATTCACAGACATGAACATGTGCACACTGATCCAGTTCTACAAACCCATTCACCCCGCATGCACATGTGCATTGATCCAGTTCTACAAATCCATTCACCCCGCATGCTCATGTACACTGATCCAGTTCTACAAATCCATTCACCCCGCATGCACATGTACACTGATCCAGTTCTACAAATCCATTCACCCCGCATGCAAATGTACACTGATCCAGCTCCACAAACCCTCTTACCCTGTAACTGGCTGCTTCAAGCCAGTGGTCAACATCGCCTTGACCGCTGTCCAATCATTGAGTATTCTCTCCAAAGCCCTCCTGCTAAACCTGGGTGGCTCCAGGTCATGTTCTGGCATTTCCAAATCTGGGAACAGTTGCAACAGGTCTGCATTCACAACAGGGTAGATAACAACTGAAGTCTGGAGCACAGTGAGTGGAAGAGACAAGATGGCATGCAGGTGACATGCCATATCGTCTCTTACATGGTCAGAGCACAAACTACTCAATCTGGTGGGTGGGTTTCAACCTCAAGACAATGTTATCAGGATTTCCTTATTTGGAAAAACTATAATTCTTCCTTTTCTTCTTCTTCTCAACATTCAAAGCTAATACTCTGGCGGAAAATTCTGATGTTATCAGATTATTATTCTTTGAACAATCTACAGTGCATCATAGCTTTCTCATCTGTAAGCCCAGCAAAAAATGTCTGGCTGTTTGTTCACTTCAGGACTTTCCAAGTCTTTTCCAGAAATGGATTTTGCATGCACACCTGTTTTACAGATCTAACTTATTGATTTATATGCAAACTACTGGTTCCTCACCTCTCAGGCAGAGGCATTTGGACTTTGAAGGAAACACTCCTAATTAGTAGCCTTTCACCACAATATGCTCAGAACTAAACTTTAAAATATCAGGCATAGCCAAAAGAGCAATCCAGGTTTTTTGTTTTTTTAAGGTTGAAGACAACTTATCACCCTCATCAGAAATGGACAGACATAAAGGAGATAGAGGAAGGCAACGTAGAAGGAAACTCTTGACAGCCTGTGGAAAAAGGACAGAGGAAGACACGATGATACAACAGCTGGTAAGAGATCGTCAAGATGGTACAAACTGTTAAAGATCGCAAGATGGTGGAGAGGCATGATCACTGACACTTTTGGCAAAGCACCTTGACGGTGATGATGAATTTATATGTCAACATATGCTGACAAGATATTCAAGATTGAAAGGGAAACAGGGGCAGACTTTTAATCAGGTTGCAAACGGTAATATTAGCACGCCAACTCTTCGTTGGTTACTGAAGAAGGGGACGAAGCATATATTGGAATGTCCCGAATGCAGTGATGTCAATTCTTGATTTATTCATTCATTTATATATCAACATACTTATGCTTTATCATATATGTTCATCTGGTAGCTCATTAATATGCTAACAAACCTATGCTGTATCATATACTTTCATCCAATAGTTCATTCATATATTAACATATCTGTGCTATATCATATACTTCCATATGGTCGTTCATTCATATGTTAACATGCACACAAGTACAAATTCAACTTTAACTATTTAGTGTTCACTTTGCAAACATCCTTACGGGACTGTGCGACATCATATTTTGAGTGTCCTGTCCTTGCAGATGTCTGGTAATCAGGGATTCCACCAAAGCCCGATATGCAGAACAACTGAGAAACACTTGCAAGATACTCACCTTCCATGGTTCTTTTTCCAGGAAATTTTCTGGAAAATGGCAATTCTGTGAAAAATACAATAAATACACCGCTTGGAAAATTTGGCATAATTATACTCTGCATACATATGTTGTCAATCAAAAATATATTACCTAATGTTTTTTAACATTCTAAAGCACAATGTGTGATGAAATGTTTTTTTACATTCTACAGATATCCATACTCAAAGCTATACTATCATATTCTACAGACAAACTGAGAAAAAAGTATCACAAAATTATTTTTTTTAAAAATAATAAATGGGTAACTACACAGACAAACTAAAATGACTTTATCCTTACATTCTAAATAAACAATATATGAGTAAACTTTCTACACTCATATTTTACACTGACAATTTTAGACTTTATCTTTACATTCTAAATAGTTAACATGTCAGTATTTCTATACTTACTCAGTAAAGTCTAAACTTTATGAAAATATATGCCTAGAATTCAGCATGCACAGACGCAAATATACACAGGCTACATGTCATCTTATATATCCCGCCTGCACTAAAGAATTAGTCCAAATTACACTATGTACATAAGACAATCCCACACATAAATACAGAATCTCAGATACACTGAAGAAACAGATATATCATAGTTGCACTAAGACAGCCAAAAGCACAGGCATGTATGTAAGACAGACAAAACTTCACAGATGAATACAGAATCTCAGATACATCACAGGAACAGACATATCATAGCTGCATCAGAGAAAGCCAAAATCGCAGGTACATACTCAAAAGAGAGAAAACCTCACAGATGAATACAGAATCTCAGATACATCACAGGAACAGACATATCATAGCTGCATCAGAGAAAGCCAGGTATATACTCAAAAGAGACAAAACCTCACAGATGAATACAGAATCTCAGATACATCACAGGAACAGACATATCATAGCTGCATCAGAGAAAGCCAGGTACATACTCAAAAGAGACAAAACCTCACAGATGAATACAGAATCTCAGATACATCACAGGAACAGACATATCATAGCTGCATCAGAGAAAGCCAGGTACATACTCAAAAGAGACAAAACCTCACAGATGAATACAGAATCTCACATACATCACAGGAACAGACATATCATAGCTGCATCAGAGAAAGCCAGGTACATACTCAAAAGAGACAAAACCTCACAGATGAATACAGAATCTCAGATACATCACAGGAACAGACATATCATAGCTGCATCAGAGAAAGCCAGGTACATACTCAAAAGAGACAAAACCTCACAGATGAATACAGAATCTCAGATACATCACAGGAACAGACATATCATAGCTGCATCAGAGAAAGCCAGGTACATACTCAAAAGGGACAAAACCTCACAGATGAATACAGAATCTCCTATAATCTAAGACATGCACACACACTAGCTGCAGGAAATAATCAGCCACAATCTCAGACGTGTACGTCTTCTTCTTCTTTTTCTTCACGTTCACTAGCTGTAAACCCCGGTGGAAAGTTCTGGTTGTTCATCCACCTCTTGACTTTAGACTTGTTCCAGAACCTGAGTGTTGAGTACACCTCTGTTCTACTTATCTGACTGTTGATTCCTTTCCTCTCAGGCAGATGCACTCCAACTTTAAAGGAAACCCTAAATCAGTCTACTCCTACAACAACATGCTTGTTGGGGAGGCAGTGGGTCTATTTTTGTTCCCCCCCCCCCCAATAATAGGGCCCCAGAACCCACACTGGGATGATGCTTATGCTATAGAGGGTTCAGCAGCAAACCTGTGCAAGCTACATACCCATGTCAACAAGCTGGGTCTTCCTGGCTCCAGATACCCTGACCCTGGGCGGCCGATACTGCCTCTGCTCAACCAGTTGCCGCCCAACAGTCTGGACCAGAAACAGGAGGACATTCTCCCCGCGAGAGTTTGGAGCTGAAACCAGGTCTGTGTGACTCAGCAGGCGATTGAGAAGAGTGTAGCGGGAGGCCTGAACTCCCGCCACCAGGGCCTTACACTTGCACTTCTCCCAGCAGTCACAGTAGGCAGTTGGCGAAGTCTTCTTCAGTTTACAATCATGGCCCTTGTGGCAGACTCTGGCACACTCGGTGCAGCAACACAAAGTGCCTGTCAGCCCACACGTCTTGCACTCAAAAATGTCCTGTGTGTGAACAGATAAAAGATTGTCAGCCAGCACATCTAGACATTATTATATCCATTTATGTGTAACTGAAAACTATCATACTGGTGCTATGCTACCTGCTCTTCCTTGTAAATTAAACTTAATAAACTGGTACACTGTTACCTTCTCCCTTGTTCTTGTAACTGGAAGTTAACATACTGGTATCCTGTTATCTTCTCCCTTGTAACTTAAAGTAAACATACTGGTATCCTGTTATCTTCTCCCTTGTAACTGGAAGTTAACATACTGGTGTCATGTTTCCCTCTTTCATGTAAATCAAAGTTACCATACTGGTGCCACGCTACCCTCTCCCCCATGTAAATTAAACTTAATATACTGGTACCCTGTTACTTTCTCCCTTGTTCTTGTAACTGGAAGTTAACATACTGGTACCCTGTTATCTTCTCCCTTGTAAGTGAAAGTTAACATACTGGTGTCATGTTTACCTCTTCCTTGTAAATCAAAGTTACCATATTGGTACCATGCTACCTGCTCTTCCTTGTAAATCAAAGTTACCATATTGGTACCATGCTAACTGCTCTCCCTTGTAAATCAAAGTTACCATATTGGTGCCATGCTACCCTCTCTCCTTTGTAACTGAAATTATTCATACTGGTGCCATGCAACCCATTTACAAGTTACTGAAAGTCATCTTTTGCTTTGTTCACTGGCTGTTTTGTGATGGTTTTACGGATCCTCATGCAAGACTCCTGCCACATGTCCTCATTGTTTGCTACAAATAATGGGTCTTATTGGCCTAAACCAAGCTCACATGGGTTCTCAGAGTTGGTGGCCCTCAGAGATGCTGTGTCCAGAAATCTTCTGGTTGTCATCAGCCCCCCCCCCCCCCAACCCAATACACAGGTGATGACGCCCATCAAAAACTCATTTGAAACTTGGGTGAAGCCCACTAACGGAATATTCTACTGTACGACAAACTTTGGTTCAAATGTCTATCGACAGAAAATCCTATTGAGTAGGCTCAGCTGTCTATTAGGCATAACAGCAAAGTTTTTGAAAGAGTCATTGTTAAATGTCCTACTGTGTGACATATATTAGTCTAAATGTCCGCTAACATTGGCCAAACTCATTTAAGTGTCCGGACCAAAAGTATGACCGCCGAATGTTCTCCTGTTTGACATACAATGTTTAGATGTCAGCTAAAACTGACCACACTCATCTCAGTTTCAGAAACCAAGGTACGACCATCAAATGTCTTACTGTTTGACAGACAATGTTCAGATGTCCGCTACCACTTGTCCAACTCATCGCGGTGCTAGGACAGGGAGGCCATGCCTGATGCACGCATGTTTTTCCTATACTGTCATGCCAAGTGTCTTGATGCAATAACTTTAAAGGTTCTATTGTGTAGACAAAGACTGTGCAGATTCGTTGGGTCACTGAAATCCCTGACCTGTGGGCTGCTCCCTGTTCACCTCCCAAGGGGCAAAGCCCGAGATGAGCTGGAAGTTCGACATGCAGATGTGAGGTTTAGCAGATATGTACAGGATGTAATGATTCCTTAGGTGAGCCAAGATCCAGAGCGAAATGTATCAGCTTTGCATTTATGGAAACCTCCTTAGATGGCACAGAATGCTTAAGATTTACACCTTTCTTTCCTTGAGGGCGAACCGGTTTATACGCTGTTGTCCTGGATAAGTTTTTCCCGGGCAACTCCTGTAAATAAAGGGACAAAGAGGACACCACACAACCAAGACTAGGTCATGCATATCCCACAAAACAAACCGAGAAGGTTAACCCGGTAAACAAATGCCAAATAATGTCAAATGTGTGGGCCAAAAGGGGCAGATAGAGCAGCTATGCTTGTAAACAGGTACAACACAATTAAGTCGCTCAGATGGATGATGCAGAAGTAGTACAGCAGGCATAGACACCCCTGAGAGAAGCAGCAAGAAACCAGAAAAATGACTGCTTGTCTACAGGAAATGTGTACCTGATTGATATGATCAGCTCCTGTCCAGGTGAAACTACAGGTGTCATTCGCACATAAGACATGCAGTGGTGAGTTGTCCAGGCTGGAACCAGGTGGGTACAGCATACTCATCAACAGTTCCTTCTTTTGCATCTCTGGGTTACTTTGGCTGTCCTCTTGACCTTGTCCCTGATTCCTGACTTTCAGGGCTGCCTCCAGAAGGGATATGGCGGCCGGATATGCTCGGCCACACACAGCTTGCATGAATGGGGTGCACCCCTCAGCATTTCTGCAAAAGCACATACAATTAAAACTCAAATCCCTGACTATGTCCAAACAGCAGCAGAAAATTAGCACTAACATAAATGACTTTACTTCTTGTTTTCTTGGTCCTCAACAAGATAGCATAAAACTACAATTGAGTTGAAGATTAAGGTTAACATGGTACACAGGAACAACTGGTGGACAATGTGAAGATAAACTCTGTATACAGGAACAAATGGTGGACAGTGTGAAGATAAACACTGTATACAGGAACAAACTGTGGACAATGTGAATATGAACTCTGTACACAGGAACAAATGGTGGACAATGTAAAGGTTAACTTGGTACACATGAACAAATGGTGGACAATGTAAAGATGAACTTGGCACAAAATCTTCAGGAACAAATAGAGAAAACTGTAGGATGAATTTGGTTTAAACTTACTTAGAGCTGAGCAGGTCACACAGGTGGGGCTGGAAAACTGGTGACTCCAGGATCAAGTCTAAGATCTGCAGCGCAATATTTCGTCTCTCTCTGTCCTCCATCTTCACCGGGGCCACACTGACTGTGCTGAACTCTGACCCGGACACACCAGACGGCCCACTGACCGACCCACTTGAACTGCCTGCCACAGGGGTGCTTGTCTGGCCAGATGACCACATGGCTGTAAAAATTACATTTCACGGTTAGACTGACAGAAAAAAGATTTTATGATAAGACCGATAAGACCGACTAGAGAGCAGATTTTATGGTTAGATCTGCTAGATGTTGCTGCCTGAACACAACAGATTTCATGGTTATACAGACCACATGGCTACAGATAACAGATTTCATGGTTAAATTATTTAGATGTGGCTGCCTTACTTCTTGTCTACATGACAACATGGCTATAGAGAATTTATTTTATGTTCAGGCTTTTGTTGTAAAAAAAAGCAGGTATTGGAAAGGGGACTTGTTGGGGGGATGGTGCTGGAGAAGATGACATGATCTTCTGCTTCTTCATGTTCACAGGTGGTAAACTCTAGTGGAAAGTTCTGGTTGTTCGTCCCCCTCTGGACTTTAGCCTTGCTCCAGAACCTGACTGTTACATGCACATCCTTTTTACAGATCTGATTTATGTGTATGCAAATTGTTAGTTTTTGTCTCTCAGGCAGATGCACTCCGATTTTGAAGGAGGCGCCCAGTCGACTCTTACGACAAGATTTTTATGGGGGAGGCAGGGGGTCTATTCTTGCTGACCCCACAATGGGACCCGGAACCCACACAGGGGAGAAGATGCAGCTATAAGTATGTGCACATGTGACTCTGAAAATACTGACATGTCAAGAGTGACTAATTAACTAATTTTATGCTGAATATTACACAAAGGTTTTAATTAACTCAAAGTTAATAGGCAATTAGTCATCGCAGACTATAAATCACACGAATATTATGTGAAGGGTATAAAATTGTAGTTATGGGGGTGTTAAATGTACGCACGCACACACATGTACACACAAATATTACCTGAAAGTAAAGCAGCAGTTAGAAGCTATATAATTTAAACTGTATAAAGGCCCAAATATTATGTGAAAGCAGAGTGTCATAATTAGGGGCTGTTAAATGTACACTGTACATACTAATATCAGATTATTCAAAATGATGGATTGACTTTCATTCATGTAAATTTCCATAAATATACACTGAATATGAAAAATATACATACGAGAGAGAGTTAGTTGTGTATCCTTTACAGGACATTTTAGAACTAACCCCAGCATTTTTTGGCTGTTGCGGTTTTTCGAGACAAAATTTACGTTCAGTAGTTTGATTGCTGATTACTGAAAGGTCAGCTCTCGGAACCACTGTTGAAACCAACACAAGACGGTCTACAGGCAAAAGTCTCCTGCTGGGATCAAACCTGGCACTATAAAGCACGTTCGCAAAACCTAAACCACAGACACCAACACAGTTGCGCAACCAACAAACTGTATCACAGCTGCAGTGAACTCAGCTTCGCAAGAAATGCATCTTCGTGTGTGGGAGGAGTTCAGCTTCGTTTACGTGTTTGCCCCACAGCAGACGGCGGCCATATTGAACATATGTAACCTCCACTGTGTTTGTAAACTTTAAACCTTCCTGTCTTTCTCTTGTACGTATATTGTTGATATGTAATGTATTTTCAAGGAAATATACATGAATGAAAGTGCATCCATTATTTTTAATAATCCTATATTATTTAAAGGTAAAATAACATAAGAAGGGGCTGTTAAATGTACACAGTAAAAACACACAAAAATGAGTATAGGTAGAGCACAACAGGTAGGGGCTGTTTAATGATCACTGTACAAACAGACAAAAATTACGTAAAAGTAGAGCACTGTACAAACACACAAATATTACGTGAAGGTAGGGCATCATAGGTAGGGGCTGTTTAATGATCACTACAAACACACAAATATTACGTGAAGGTAAAGCATCATAGGTAGGGGTGGTGCAGTTGAACAAAAACACAAAGGTTACATCACAGGTAGGGGCTGTTAAATGTACATGTACAAACACAAATATTACATGAAGGCAGAGCATTATAGCTGGTAGCTGTTATATGTACACTGTATAAACACACAAATATTACGTAAAGGTAGAGAGCATTATAGCTGGTAGCTGTTATATGTACACTGTATAAACACACAAATATTACGTAAAGGTAGAGAGCATTATAGCTGGTAGCTGTTATATGTACACTGTATAAACACACAAATATTACGTAAAGGTAGAGAGCATTATAGCTGGTAGCTGTTAT